AATTTAAAATAAAAAGGCAGCATATTATGAGAAATGCGATGTAGCAGGACAGCATTATATTGTGAATTGTCATTCAAATTGCTAGTAATAACTAACAACACATATGAGAACAGAAGGTACTATATTATTCTTAGTCATTTCATGACGTAAAACTTTAAACTGACCAAATTTGATGTTTTTTAGTTAAACTACGTACGTAGAATGAGAATATTAAGAAACAATCTTACATTTTTGACCGAATTGTTTAGCATTTAGCACAAATGCACAAGTCACTCAAAGAATTAATACCTAGACATGATCACTGCTTCAATAGTACTGATAATATATATGGTATACTTTATTGCAAAATTGAAATTAAATATCAATTTCCACTTTAATCTAAAAATAACATAGTATTATTATCTATCAAGATGATGAATAGAATATGGATGGTAGACTACATAATTTACTTTGTAATTCTCCCTTTGAAATTGCATATAGTTCAAACATACATGGCGAATGGGTGAATTATACATCATAGGATAGACAATATATACTTATTACAAATCATAATTTACTCCGTAATTCTCCCTTTATTCCTGAATAATTGATGGTTATTACCTAGAAGTTGCACCAATAATATCTTCTTAGTACTTTAAGCATTGTCTACCAATAATTGATGAGATAAAGGTTAAACCTTATGATATTAAAGGTTCATACCACGTACTCTAAACATAGATGAAGAATGGAAAAAAAAAAAAAAAAAAAAACATTGAAATGACACTAAAAAAAGTCATAAAGCTAAGAAATGTAGGAATATGTCCAAATAAAATAAATAAACCTATTTTTGTGTTTGAGAATCAAAAGAAAATCAACAAAATATGTTTTTGATTAGTTGGAAAGAGAAATATAACGTGTCGCATATGATTTTTAAAGGGAATGTCCTTTGTTCTTGCCTATTGCCAAGTGCCCTACTACCCTAATTAACGCAAATCACTTGGTTACCTTACGCTAAATTCTTGGGTTGGTTGCCTATAATATTTCAATTGTGACTGAAAATATGTTTATGGTGGGTCAAAGAAAATGGCCACTTTTTTTTGGTTAATTTTTTACTTTATTTTAATTTAAATTTGATTTTTTTCCCCCCTCAAATCTTTAATGTGATATTTACTCCATAAGTCCGCATATAAATGTAACAACTATTATAATAAATCTGTCTCTATTTTATTATCTCATTTATACATTTTCTTTCGATTTGACTCATATGAGTCCAACATTATATTTTTTTTTTTCACTTGTATGGAGTATTTTTTTTTAGCAACAAGAGCGGGTGATGAGAATCGATCCCAAGATCTCTTATAATCAGAAGGGGAGCTCTAACTACTTGAGATATCCCTCACTGAAGTATAAAATTATGTACTTATACGGAGTAACAAACTAACGATGGGGTGTTATTACACAATTTCTCAATTTATGGTAAAAGAAAGTTGGTGAGGAGCTGATTACCCGGATACAGAACTCAAAAAGACCCAAACTCCCGCCATCAAGGTTAACTTTATGTTACTTCCCCTGCAATCACAACATTAAACTCAAATTATCTATTAACAATTTAACATTAAAAAAATGCATGTTTTAATCGTGGATAATTTGACTATTATTATACAAACTTATTTTTATGGTGTTAGAATTAGCCCATACATTTTTTTTTTAAAAAAACTTCGTAATAAATTAAGCTTTAACGTTGGTAAAAAAACTATGTCCGAACTGATTTTAGTATACATCAACAATGTTTTCTTTTGAATTCTAATTGACATTGCAAAATCACAAAGGTGGGACGCAATTGTAACCTTATCACCTTCCAATCCCAAAATTTGTACTTCTAAATAATTAAAAAAAATAAATAGAGTATCAATAACAAATGTCATACATATTTGACATTTGCAATATTGATACTATGACCATATATTCATATGTATTAATGTATTTCTTTCTATAGCTCTCATTTCCATATCGGAATTTCATACGTAGCAATTAATGCAGTACAAATGTACAATACATTGGCAACTTTAAAATCCCATAATTACTCCCTTCATGCCACCTTTCCCATAAATTTCCAATTTTAGAAATGAAAATTGAACTTCCTTACTAAGAGGATTCTCCTAAAACATACTAAGTTACATCATTTTATCCATTAACACCAATATTCATGTAATTACAACATGTAACGCGTTCGTCAAAAATAAAATAAAAAATAAAATAAAAAATTACTCCGTAATTAAAATTACTTGAAATTTGGACTAAAGTTGCACAAAAAAAAAATTATTTAAGTTGCACCTAAAATAATTTATAATAATTGCATTAAAGAAGACAACATAAACAAGAAATAAATTAGATTGAATTAATATAATTAAGGGGGTTACAAAAGAATACCTTTCAAGATAGTATGCAAATGGGAAAATACAAATGGCAGCAAGAAGATGACGATACGCAATTAGAGCAAAAATGAAAATTCCTTGCGTTAATATCATTTTTGAAAGAATTTGCAACCCGGTTGATACCAATTGCACCATCAACATACCAAATATTGGACCCGAACTCGAACCCGAAATCATTTTCTTGTAATTCATCGTTACTCTGTTTTTTTATTCCTTCTTTCTATATATATATATTTACTCTGGTTTTTCTCTGTTTTCTCTCTCTATTTTTGAAAGAGGAAAAAGAGAGAAAAGCATTTACTTCTCTAACTAGCGATAGCTTCACTCTTTATATAAAGGAAAGGGGGTTCTTCGGGTGGTAAGTGGAGAATTAGAGAATTTTAGTATCGAAATAATTTAAGGGAATAAAACAAAAGGAGAGAGTTCCTTAAAAAAAAAAAAAAAAAGGAGAGAGTCGAAAAAATAACCACAAGAAAAAACCCCGATAGAAAGATTATTTAAGGACAAATTAACTAAAGGATAATTAAAAACAAACGAATTTGGCTAAATGTTAGGAAAAGGAAAAAGGTAATTTAAAGTAAGTTTTTAAATTAGTGATTTCCAAAATTATAAAAGTTTTTTTTGTGTATATATGTTTTTATGTGTGTATATATATGCATAAAAACATGTTAGGGTGTGTACCATTTTACTAGGGTTTGTGAATGTGTTCATATTTATAAGGGCCTAATGTATGCTTAATGTGCATAGTCACTATCTTTATTAATTACTTTCCTATGTTTAACAAATCATACACGAGCTTTTTATGGACCTTTTTTTCATCCCCACAAATCTCACCCAACAAAATTTTTATTTTATTTTTTAAAAAAAAGTCCCAAAAAAAAAAAATTACCACGTGGTGGATTTTTATATTATGATTGATATATTGCTATTTTTTCTTGATTTTGCAATATTTTTAGTTGTAGTTTGACTAGATTTTTCAGTATATCATGTAAGTGTGCAAGTTTTTCTCAAAGTCACAATTTCCTATATAAAGGTGAGTAAGGTTTTGGTAAAATTATACTTTGAATTTTAATAATTATGTTTCATTGGAAATTAGATTCACACTTGATTATTTATTAGGGTCTATTCAGTTCAACTTAATTTCAGTTTAGCTCAGCTCCAATCAGTTCAGTTCAGTTCATTTCATCTCCTAAACTCCTTCATTCATAAAATATTCATTTCACCTTTAATCAGTTCAGTTAAGTTCAGTTTATTTCAGTTCAGTTCAGTTCAATTAGCCCACTTATGTAAATGTGAACAAACCCTTAATATTAGGACTATAGGAGTAGTTGTTTAGTACTTTAAGTTTTATTGGTCAAGGTACTCAAGGATGTCTTTAATTAAAGGTGAAATTTGCAAAGTAATGTACAACAAAAGTACCAATTTACAGATTATAACTTTTTAAGACTTATTTTGTAAATTATAACTTCAAAACATAACCAAATTATTCCAAACTTCAAAATAATTATAAATTATTCCAAACTTCAAAATAACCAAGAGTATATTACAATAATCAAATAAGACTATCCTAACTTTTTGTTACCTTTTCTATATAAAAAAATAAAAAATAAAAAATAAAATTATTACAGTATGTTTTACTCTAGTGTGCAATATTTGGTCACATTTCAATATTTCAGGGTACTTCTTGAAATGTTTGAAGATTGTTCATTGTTGAGAGGTACAGTTGTTAAAACAAGCATAATTTTCACCAAAAAAAAAAAGCATAAATAATAATCACTGCTCGTATATTCGTATCACATAAAGTTCATATTGAATTTTGTTTATCTTTATTTTTATTTTATGCAAATATGTCTGAATTGATGTTTCACATTGCAAAAAAAAATTGCATAGTTATATAGAGTACTGCCATAAATTGCCATTAGTTTCCCTATAATGATAAGGTGTAACAATTTGTCTCCTAAACAGGGTAGTACAACACTCAATCACTCTCTTAGTCGGTGTTACGCATAACAGATTAACAGCCAGATATGTATATGAAGTATATTTCAAGCCAAAAAAGGTAATACCCTAAGATTTCCTTGTAATTTAAGATTTTCAATTCCTACCTCTCCCACTTAATTATTCTATGCTACTTATGTTACAGAGTAGTACATCTTAAAAAATGGTGATCATATTATGTTGTTTAGTTTCCCAAATAATGTATGCATTTACTTGGAATTTATTTTAATTAGATATTTGCAATGAATTAACATTTCAATGTATGTGAAAGTGTGACAAAAATACAAAATGGTTCAATCCAACAGAAAAGTTTATTAGCCAAATAATCTACTATATAAAGCCATATTTTGGGCTTCAAATCATTATGCATAACTAGTGCAGTGTAATTAGTGCTTAGAAATACATGTAAATACTACAATTACATGGATATTTTGCATCTAGTAACCTATATTATACTTGCGAAGTTACTAGTTCTATCTCTAACCATAATGTATCTTTCATTTTTATACATGTGTTTACATATTAGAGTGGATTTTTGGGTACTGGTGATTATTGTTAGAAAGGTCAAGAGATGTCAATGATCCCATCTCACCAATATTCTGAGGAATAATTCCTGTCAAATGATTGTTGGACAAGTTCAAACCAATGAGTCCAAATAGATTTGTGAGGTCTTCGGGTATTGATCCCACTAAGTCGTTGCTTGAGAGATCCAAGTTCACTACAAGCTTCAACGTTGTGGTGTATAGTAGTTCTTCCCCTTTCAAGACCACCACAGCATTCTCCCCCGGGCAAAGAAATTCCTGGTGCTGGTGCTGGTTCTGGCGCCATTTCGTAAGTTGAAGCTATAAACGCCATTTCATCGGTATGCAATGACTTCATACTCTTCAAATGGCCAAAACAACTAGGGATGCTTCCAGTCAAATTGTTTATTGCAAGGTCAAGGAATTGAAGGCTAGGGAGCAAACACAATCTTGATGGAATAACACCTTCAAGATGATTCGCTCGCATGATAAAAATTTGCAAAAAAGGGTGACTTTTTGCATCCCAATTTGGAACCTCCCCAGTTAGTTTATCTTCACCAAGATCCAAAATCACCAACTGCGAAAGTTCATTCAGTGTTGCAGGTAGAGTGCCTTCTAAGGAGTTGTTGTTCAGTTTAAGATATGCCATACTTGGAAGTAGCCCAATAGTCATGGGGATACTTCCAGAGAGTTTGTTAGAGGAAAGGTCAACAACACTCAAGCCTTCTGAGTTGCCCCAACAATCAGGGATTGAACCAGAGAGTTGGTTACTTTGAAGATGTAAGAGTTGTAAATTCTCTAAATGGCATAATGGAACTTCCACTACACCATTCTTAGAGGATGAACTATTGAACAGAGGCCCAGAAAGTAAATTATATGAGAAGTCTATGTTAATTAGTTGAGAAGATGGAAAAAAATATGGAATCGGTCCCATAATGTGATTATTGGAGAGATTTAACTCTTGCAAATTAACATTTGGAATCCAATTAATTATTTCTCCAAAGAGCCCCGTATTTGAAAGGTTCGATGCCGAGAGCTTTTTTTGCATCGTTAACCATTGAGGGAATTGGTTTTCAATTTTACAGGACTGCATATGAAGTACCTCAAGTTGAAACGTGGGCATCTTGTTCCAGTTGAGGTTTATTTTTAAAGCATTATGATTGCTCAAGTCTAAAAACTTTAAACTTGAGAGGTTGGCTAAGTGTGAATCAGACACTACACCTTGAAGCTTATTCGACGAGAGGTCTAATACTTCCAAGGATGACAATGATCCTAAAGAGGTAGGAATGGTTCCCCATAAATTACAACTACTTAGATCTAACTCAATCAGTGATGACAAGTTTCCAATGGATGGAGGAATTGGACCATAAAATCTACTTGAACCAAGTCTTAAAATATTCAACTTTGTGAACTCTCCTAACAAGTACGTTAAGGTATCTGTGATATTATTAAAGGACAAATCCAAATACTCTAGATCATATTTCAAAGGATCACAATGGTAATGGAATAAACATATTAATACTCTAGAAGGGGGGGGGGGGGGGAGGGTTGAATAGAGTATGGGCGTTTTTCGCAAAACAGAAAATGTCAAGGCCTTGAGATCAGTTATAGGGCGGAATAAACTGATCTCTGTTTTACAAATCAAGACTTTGAAAACTATTTAAAGTAAAACAGTTATTAAGTAGAAGGTTATAAACGTTTGTTTTGGATTTTGTTAAAACTGTTTAACACAAAGAACGAAAGCAAGAATAAGGCAAAAATAAAAACAGAAATAAACACAAGGAATTGTTACGAAGTTCAGCACAAAGGCCTACGTCTCCGCCTAGGGTTGTCCAACCCGTAGGATTTTAACCAACTTTTATTTCTTCCCTTAGAGTTCTAAAGCAACCTAGAAGATCTCACTATCTTCTCTCCGTAGTACTTCCCACTACACCTTAAACACTCAAATCCTAGAAATAAAAGCTAACACACTCAAACAACTTCGAGTATTATAATTTTACTACGAAGTGTATCACTCAAGTATTACAAAGTTTAGCACAAGTGAACACTCGTATTTTTCCCTCACTTTTAAGTAATGAAAAGTAGTAAACAATGAGAGAATTAAAGCTCTTAGAATAGCACAAGACTTCTTGAAAAACTTTGATAATGAAACCGGCTGATCTTCATGCTATTTATAAGGCTTTGAAGTTGACTTTAAAACGTTGCCAGCAGTCTCTGGGTCTTCAACAAACTCCAGAAATTTCGAAGCTTTCAAATTCAAATTTCAAAGCTGCTTTTAAATTCAATGTTTATCTTCCAGCTAGAAATCTGTTACAGCATACTTAGCTTCCTAAAAACCAGGTCAACAAGCACAAGTAACAGCAATATTTATCTTAAACAGAAATCTTATCATATTCAGAAAAATTCAACAACCAAATAATATAAATAATAAGCTAGATAAATAAATACATTTGACAGAAAATATTATCTTAGAAATATAAAGATAAAATCAGTTACTTAAAGAATAATAAAAACATAAACATGCTTATAGCAGAATATACGAATAGGTTAGCATACTTAGCAGGATATATTCGAATATAATTTGACAGGATCATAAAATAAGCTAAGATAAATAAACTAAACATATTAGCAAATTAAATAAACATTGACTATTCATTTTGACTTCCATCATCCAATATAAAACTAAGTAGGAATATAAACGAAACAACAAGGGAAACAACAAGGTGGAGTCATCAATATTGGACGCAATTAGAGTAATTCTCATGATTAAGGCCTGAAAAATTACCTCCTACACTAGAATTTTGCAACTCGAGTGATTTAAGATGGCATAAATTCCCCAAGATGCCCATAATTGTCCCTCCCTCAACATGACTAAAACTATTCCTACTAAGGTCAAGATATTCAAGGTCTTTCATGTTACTAAGCCAAAGTGGGATGGAGCCATTCAAATAGGTATTTGAGAGGCCAAGGAATCTCAGGGAGGTCATGTTGGATAAAAAACGAGGGATTGGCCCTTCCAAGTAGTTCCCTGAAAGATCAAGGTGTTGGATAGTCGAAGGTGGAGTTGAATGGGAGAAAAGAGGATTTGAGAAGGAATTGCCAGAAAGTATGAGAAATTCTTGACCTCTTATGCTCTTAAGCGGCCAGAGTGGGATGGAGCCATTCAATAGGTTATAAGACAGGTCAAGGTATTCAAGGGAGGTCAAGTTGGAGAAAATATGAGAGACTGAGTCTTTTAAGTTGTTCTCTGAAAGATCAAGATGCTGAATTCTAGAAGCAAAAGTTGAATTGGAGAAAATAAGAGATTAGTCATAATTACCAATTCCAACTCTTGACAGATGCAAGTCTAACAAAGGAAGTTGGCCAAATATTTGCAGTGAGTTTGGTAGTGATATTGATGCCACTCATGTCCAAATACCGCAAATTCAAAAGAGAAGATAGCCAGAGGAGATTGGACGATTTAGAACCTTGGATAGCATAATGAAGATCTAGAGCCCTTAATCTAGTAAGATTGCCAAGTTGTGGAGGGACGACCCCGCCAAACTCTGCCCCTGAGAGGTTTAGATACCTCAAATGTTTCATTGAGCCAATGAACTCCGGGATACAGCTATTATTGAAATCATTCCCACTCAAATCTAAGTACCTCAGTTGTTTAAGTTCAAGCAAATTAGGATCCAACTGAGAGAATCTTAGCCAAGATAATTCACCCCGTAGATCAAGCCTAAACACGTGACGGGTAACATTGTGACAGGTACAACAATCATCCCCCTTCCATGAAAACAGAACGTTGGCATCGTCATACCAGACACTCGCCTTAAACTTGAAGAGAGCCTCTCGTTCCCGCTTAAGGCAGCCTAAGGCGAAGCCCTTTTGCCCCATTTGTGTATTGATCAAAGGCAAAAGGACTATAACAAATAAAATTATTTCTGGATCAACTTTACCCATTGTTAACTCAAGGTAAAATAAAGGAGTTGTGTTTGTGATTTTGGATGAATGAAAGCTGTCTTGAGAGAGTACTATATATAAGTGCGTTGGACCTCTATTATTTTTACCCCAAAATTCACGCAAAGGCTAGCTTAGTACGCTACAAGTGACATAAATCTCATAGGAATAGAAAAAAAACTCATGTACTATTTTTTTTTTTTGGTGTTTAGAGAGCCACAAGGGTAGGGGTGAGAATCGATCCCAGAAACTCCTGGGACCGGGAGGGAAGCTCTAACCACTTGAGCTATCTCTCACTCTCACCATGTACTATTATTACTAGTAAAGAATAATCATAATCGACGTAACTACTACTAACTCGGAGAATTTAAGTGGAGGGCGGGGCAAGGAAGGTTCATAGTCGTATTATGTTACTAAACTGCTGTAAATGGTACATACAGACAAGTTTGTCAGTCAATGAAGTCTTCCATCATAGAAATAGCATAGACAAATTATGAAGATATAAATAAAGAAATTTATGAATATTTCGAATTATGTATCATCTATACATATATATAATCTATGTTTAATGTTCTAATCTTTAAGTAAGCTGTGTTAATGTTTAACTGGTTTGCATAACTTATCTATTTTGTTAGGAAGGTTAATGAACCAAATTTGTGCAATCTTTCAATCATGTTGTATTCATTTTTTAAGAGGACTAAATAATGTACGTACATGTTTAATTTAATGGCATGCATGCAAAAGAAAGGAAGCTTTTGTATTCAATTGAGCTCAAATTACAATTCTAATTTACTCTAGTTGTCAGCATATTGAAGTACATCCGTACATAACGTGCTTGACAAGTCAATAAAAAAGGAAGACGTAGTAGAAGTCGTTGGTCTTAGTCTCCATTGCTACTACTCTAATGTTAAGTACTACTATGTATTAACAAGCGGGACATATAGGCTAACTGAGCGACAACGCGTTTACGTTTACTACGGGGTGTCTGATTAAAATTTCCACAACTATTATTATTAGGGTGTGTTTATTCCCAGACTCAACCTCTTTTTTCATACAATCATACTCTACCATATCAATTTTCCACTAACTTTTTCTAGCTTTTATACGAAATATTATTCTAACTTTACTAACTTACAAAACTTTCTCCACTTTTAGACTTTATCCCCAACCCCGCTCCGAACTTCATCGCATACTTCCTCCATTTATTTTTAGAGGCCCTGATTTACATATTACACTATTCACACACTTTATTTTGACTAAATTTTGTGATATATATTCTTAATTAATAAAAAACACATAATTATGTAATATTTTTTTAATTCGTCTCAATTTATTATGAGTATGAAGAAGTAAATTGATTGTACATTGTCATGTACTATCTTCCCCCGCTTAAATCCACATAATTATGGACAGGTTTGGTTGGAGAATAATCCAGTCTTAAAATTTTACCAAACAAGCCATAATACTACTAGGGACTACTGCATTTAGTAACACTTTTGTACTTCTGATTTTTATTTGGGCTTTTAGAAAAGCCTTCTGGACTTATGGTTCTAGCCGTTTTAGGTTAGATATTTTCAATCCTTAACCATACCGAAAATGACATAAATTCAAAACAATCCAACCCGAAATCGAACCAACCATTTTAAATCTTTCACTCTGTAATAAATTTAATTAGTCTTTTACTAGAATAGACCCGATCTACAATAACTTATTGTAGACCCAACCTTCCAGCATACCATACAAATGTTATTATATCATACGAAATGTGATTATATTATTACAAAAATGATTATATCATCTTGAAACTGTTATTTATATGTATCACTCAAAAAGTGAATTTATCATTATAAAAAGTATCAAATAGTAAATTACATCATTCAAAGATGATTTTTAAATTTTATCATCTTAAAGATAATTATATAATCTCATTAAATGGTTTAATATGAGATCAAAATATGACTCACAAAAAGATAATTATATCATCTAAAAAAGTGATTATACCATCCACAATGTGATTATATGATTTGAAAGTGTCAAATTTTGGGTCTACAATAATTTATTGTAGACCGGGTCCATACAAGACCAATTGGTCAATTAAAATAAAAACAGAAATATAGAAAAATAAAATTAAATTTATATTATTGAGCAAAATTACCTTGCTAAATTTCTTTAAATCATTGAACTTAATCATTGTAAACCCACCCAAATTTAGAATCTGATTTAAATATACATTTAAACAAGTCAGGTGGTTAAGTATTGGTGTAGCAGCTATAAGACAAAAGAGTGATTAATTTTTTTTCTTCCTAGTGGTTAAATATTGTAACACTATTACTTAAAATGGCTATAAATATTACTACTAAAATAACATATACTCTAGTAGTATAAATTACATATATAATGGTATATTGAAAATACCACTATATTTATAATGGTACATTAAAAGTACTACTAAAACGATAAAAAAAAATGTAAATTTATCGTTTAACCCTATTATATGCATTCTAAATAAATAACTGTTATGCGCCTAGTTGCAATCAAGTCAGGGTATCAGTATCACTTGAGCTGACAATACACACCTACTATGTTAGGCAGAAAAAATAGCACAATTGTTCGAATGAATTAAGATATCATGTGATATTATCCAACTTATTCAGCCCCACAATTAATTCCATTATTGATATTACATGCATTAATACAACAAAATGCCAAAATTTGATAGTGGCCTTTGTTCTTATCGTCGTCCTCCTCAACTTAATCTATCTTTTTCATATTTTACACACTAATTGACAAATTCATCTATCTTCTTTTTATTGCACCAATGCTCTTTATTGTGCCACGTCCATTTACATTACTCGTACACAACTAGTGTTACTCTTACGTGACCAACTTTTACAAACTATATGCTTCATTATTTTCATATCAATCCTCTACCATTACCACCACCACTACCACCGCGAACATTTTTTTCGCAACCCTTTCCTATGGCATGTACAACTTCCTCGAGGAAAGTTCTCGGTTGGTTAGCTCTTATATTAGTTTTACGTGTGGTTTTGGGTAGCGAAGATGGTACTAAGTTGCAACATAAAATTACCATGACTAAATCTCTATCATTTCCGGAGTTTAGTACGTCTATTAACCCGAGGATTGAACATGATGTGAAACTCCTAGGAAGTGCTAAGTTCTCGAGTGACAAGAGAAGCATTCAAATTCCGGATATCTCAGAAACAGATGACCTTAGGCATCAAGCTGGTCGCGCAATTTACTCTTCACCCATTCGGGTGTTTGATCCTAGTACCCAAACACCAGCTTCGTTTGACACTACATTCACCTTTCAATTCAACAATCATACTTCGAGCTCATTCAATGATACTCATGCTTCAGGAGAATCTCAATTATCTCATGGAGGTAAGAAGAGCTAATTTTCGGTTTTGTCTTAGTTTACAAGAATTGTGGGGCAAAGTTCATATCAAACTATGGAAGCTCCTTTAACTCTAAATGATTTGAAGCCTATAATGCACGAAAATATACCAAAATAAACCATTACCCATATGAGATATCGTGATTCCTGATTGTTTAAAGGTTGAATATTTGTAGATTTTAGGCTGCTTTTGGAAAATCTAAGACTAATGTTTGGCTTTTAATCAGGAAATTTTTGAGGATTAGTAACTTTTTTTGTTGATGTCTTTGGTATTATATTAAGATTTGAGATAGCTTAGAAAATGAGTGAATTATTGGACAATCATACAAGCTGCATACTTATCCTGATTACTGAAGTCTCATTTTATGCAATAATCTTTTAAGCTAGCTAGTAGTATAACTAGTATGTAGCATAAACATTTTACCCAAATGAAGCTCTTATTTCCATAGTTTCTAAGCACATTTTGGTACAACAATTATCCTTTCACAAATTAGTTTTTAGACCAGAGCAATTTCAGCTAATCCTAAGGTTCAAAATCAGTACTTAATATATGCCTAATTTTCTCAATTTTACTAATCAATAATATGACTTGTGCTCTCAAAAAGTTAAGATTATAGATGATAGATAAAATGCAGTATAATGTTATAGTGACAAATAACAGTTCAATAAAAATTATATGCAGGAAGTGGACTGACCTTTCTGATTGCCCCGGACGAGTTTACAGTAGGCCGACCCGGTCCTTGGCTAGGAATGCTAAATGATGCCTGCAACGACGACTACAAGTTTGTGGCAGTGGAGTTTGACACCCGCCAAAACCCGGAGTTTGGTGACCCGAATGATAACCACATTGGCATCAACTTAGGCAGCATTGTTTCAAAATCAACTATTAATGCATCAGATTACGGCCTATCCTTTGAAGATGGCTCAACCCATTTGGCTCAAATAACCTACAATGGCTATTCAAAGAGGATGGATATTCGAGTCGGATCACACCCAAGGATGCCCTTAAGATCAGTGTTTTCGGATGACATTGACCTCACTCCATTTCTGAATGAGTATATGTTTGTAGGGTTCTCTGCTTCAACAGGAAACAGAACACAAATACACAACATTATGTCCTGGAACTTTACCCACAAAACCCCTGCATTACTCCGGTATCCAACAAGCGAGACGTGTGAGAGTAAGATTTTGGTGGGTAAGAATCAAGTTGGTGAAGTTCGTGCAGTACCCATCAAAGAAAAAAGGCCATCTACAACTTTTTTGATCTTTGTTTGTGTTGTGGTGCTCTGTTTTGTGATTCTCATCAACCTGTATTGCAACGGCAGGAGACCGAAATCTGGTAGTACTAGTGGTTCGGCATTTTTGGTCTTATCGGAAATGAAGCCCCGGCCAACGCCTCCAAACAAGCCGAGGAGGTTTACAGGGGCAGAGCTGTCACTAGCTACTAGGGGGTTTACTGATTGGGAGGTTTTAGGGAGTGATTCAAGTGGTGTATTGTATAGGGGTACTTTGCCAAATGGGTGTCATGTTGCTGTCAAGCGTTTCTCAATTCAATTCTTGAGCTCTTTAACCATGGACAGAAGGAAGTTCCTAAAGCGGGTTGGGGCTTTGAGCCGGATCAAGCACCCAGGGCTGCTGCCTATCCGAGGCTGGTGTTATGATACAAGGGAATATATGGTGGTTTATGAGTATATGTTTAATGGGTGTGTTGATAAGTGGTTGTTTGGTGTTGGGGTTTTACCTTGGAGTCGGCGTTTTAAGGTTGTGAAAAATGCTGCTAATGGGTTAAGCCATCTGCATTCGCGTCAACTTGCTCATAACAACGTTCAAGTAAGCAGTGTTTTCCTTGACGTGAGCTTTAAGGCCTCAATCGGGGATTTTGGACTGAGTGATCCATTTGGGATTGATCCGGTATCCAGTAGAAGTGTTGATGTGTTCAACTTTGGCATTTTCGTGCTTGAAGTAGTGGCCGGGAGGAAGAGATGGGCAGCCGAGCCAGAAACTAGAGTGTCAGGTTCTAGTCAAAGTGAAATAGAGATGGATGAAATGGACTTGGTGGACTATGCATGGATAATGCATGAGAGGAATGAGAAAATTAAGATGGCTGATCGAAGGATGGGAGCCGTGGTAAATACCGATCAAGCAGTTCGAGTTGTGGACATAGCATTGCTTTGTACCTTGCCTGAGAACAATGGAAGGCCTACAATGGAGGAAATAGTTATGTTCTTGACCACAGACTGCCTCTTGCCCAAGCTGCCACCAAATCGACCGATTGTGTTGTTTCCATACAACAGCGGCCCTCACCTTTGTGGAGGCTACGCTTGTGCTCCCTTCAGTTAAAAATTGAGAGTAACATAATCAGAAATATCAGCTAAAAATCGAGAGTAACATAATCAGAAATATTTGTGTGATCGAGATGAGTTGTTGAAAAAGAGAATGATAATTTGATTATACTGCAGCATTTATTTGCATTTACATTAAATTAATATTTTGATTGTAAATACAAAATAGTGAGCTATGTTGGCATGCCAAAAACAGAAAAGAAAAAAAAAGAGTTATAATTCAGATAGTGTAGTTCTTTTCAACCAGTTGGACAATGCTCTTATTCAAATGAGAAAACTACGTTGAATTGAACGGATCGATACTCAGATTTCAAGAAAAGAATTTGCCCTACAAAAACCTTGTTGCAGCAACAAGTGAACATTCCATTTCCATTTAATCCGTCTATTTCTATCCCCTCTTTAAGCTTGTCCAAATGGCTGGAATAAAAAATTGGGGATGGAGGGAGCAAGTATCGAACACTAGCATCAAGATTCAAGAGAAAACAAGAGCATAGGTAACATTAATTTTAAGTCTACATACTCGTTCTCAAAGAAATGTAAATCAATCTAACTGTAAAAGCGAGGTTGCTGACAAAAAAACTCTAGTACATCTTTGATTCTCATACAAAATCCATAGAGTACAAAACCAAAGAAAGAAGCAACAAAAATCCCAGTTCGCTCAATATAGTTCCTAACTTAACGGTTGGCCTTGGCAACTCTTTCAATCTCATCTTTCTTCTTGATAGCATAACTGCAGAAAAAAAAATTACAGAAAAAATAATAAATAATCCGTAAAAGACAGCATATGACGAGCATTGAGCTGCTCTGGCCTCTAGGTATCTTTCTAAACATGATACTCCATAAGAAATCATCCGTGTTAATGCACGGGATATATCTAGGATTACTATTGCTATGAAAAGATAATATATAAGAATCTTGATAAAAGGTACTCATACTTTTTAATAAAATAAGGTATAGTTGAACAAATTATTACTCGTAGAAAAGGTTAGTTTGATTTAAGCTATACCAAGTTATGTATTTAGAAAGGAAATTAATGGTTCACATATAATACACACAAGAAGAGCATATATGCTCAACAATCAACATACTACAGTTTTCAAACCATGACATTTCAACATTGAATTCAGCATGTCAAGAACTGTACAGCTAGACAGCTGCCCACACACATCACCCAGCATATACAGCTAACTATAGAGCATTCATCAAAACAGACAGCTTACAGACTAAAGCACAAGTAGCAACATTCAGGACAGCAATTCATCAACAGTGGTTATGGGTAGAGTGAAATTACCTGTTGGATGAACCCTTAGCGGCATTGATGAGTTCATCAGCAAGGCACTCGGCAATTGTCTTGATGTTCCTGAAAGCACTCTCACGAGCTCCAGTAGTAAGAAGATAGATTGCCTGATTAACACGCCTTAGTGGAGAGATATCAACAGCTTGACGCCTCACAACACCAGCAGAACCAATTCTGGTTGCATCTTCTCTGGGTCCACTGCATAACACAACATGGTTTAAGTAACAATAAGTCAATAACAGTATAATAATGCTTACAAGAAATGAATAATGTTGTAAAAATATTGAAAGCTAATGAAACAATACCGACTTTTAATTCACTTTTCAAAATGTCCTACATATGATAAAAATGAATTAAAACAAAAACAGAGCCTGTAGAGAAGTCAATACAAAGAGGAACCTATAGAGAAGTCAATACCTGTTTATGATGGCATCAACAACAATTTGAATGGGGTTTGAGTCAGTCAGGAGATGGATGATGTCCATGGCATGCTTAATAATGCGAACAGCCATCAGCTTCTTTCCATTGTTGCGCCCGTGCATCATGAGAGAGTTGGTCAACCTCTCAACAATAGGGCACTGAGCTTTCCTGAAACGCTTCATCTGATATCTTCCAGAAGTGTGAGGCACGTATGTGGCATGCTTCACAGCAGTCACTCCAATGTAATCAGCCAAAGCAATGTCATGCACCTACATGTCAAACCAAGGGCATTCTTAGCACAAATATAAGCACTAAAACACGCATCCAAAAATAATACTTGTAAAATCCATCTATTGTCAATAAACACGCTCCTTAAGAGACAAATATGTTATTCATCTAATGTAGCCACGAAAGAACCAAATCATCCATAATGTCGGCAACTTACAACTAAATCACAAATTCACAATATTGCTTATGAAATTCTAACCCTCTACAGTCTACACACCAATTAAAATCAACAGAATACTTTAAACACAATACAGCAAGGTCACAGTGAATTCCAGAAACAATAGCTACCGTGATTAAAACTCGTAACGTAACAACTAAATCAGGACAACCCGAGTACTTTCATTCCTATTCACATTCCCATTAAAATGACAAACGAGGAAATGAAATTCACAAATACATACATATACATTGTACATGATTATTTCACTACACCAACCGCTGAAAAAATAAAACAATTGGTACGCCTAAATTCCTCAATTCCAAAATTAAATAATCCTAGCAATTTTAAATAAACTATCTCAAATCACTAAAGTATATGGATAAACAACAACTTCAAAACCATTTCAATGAAAATAATCAATAATAAGCATGCTTAATAATTAACAATCTCAAGATCCAACAAAACTAACAAATTAGCAGCAACCTACATCATCCATCATCAAATTAAGTCCAAGTTAAAGCCTTTTCCGCTTAATTAGCGTAAACAAAAGTAAAATCATCTCACATGAACATACAAATCAGTAGAAATAAATAAAATCACACGTTTTGAAACAATAAAGATCGAAAACATAAACCCTAAGTTAAGAGATAAAATAAAGAGGATTAAATTCAAATATATAAATAAAAAGGAAAAGGAGAGATAAGATTACGAACAGTGACTTCTTCGAAGCTCCATCGACCGAAAAGCTTGACCTCATTTTGCAAAGGATCGGAAGTTTCAACAGGGACTGGGACTGCAACTTCTACCGCCGCCATGGTTGAGAGATTGAGCAGAGAGAAGTGGAGGAGAGAGAAAGTGTGAAGTGCAGAACTTAAAGCTCGCAAAACCCTAATTTGCCAAGCTTTGGAACTAACTTGGACCCTTTTTATATTGGGGTTGCATGGATATGGGCCGCTCAGAATTTGATTTCAAAGGCCCACTGTTTTTATTCATTTGCCGTTTTTTTTTTTGGGTGGTTGGGGGGGTTGGTTTATGTGTTATGAGCAGAGGCTTTAAGCACATCCGATCCGACCCGAAAAATATCCGATTCAGATTTAGTCTCGTGTGAACATAACAATATAGCATGAGTTAACTTTAAAAATTGACCCGACCCGACTCGATCATATCAGACCCGATCCGATCATTTGAATTGACACCTCTAATTATGGGGGCAGTGGGCTGGTGTAGATTACTAGGTTTAGATGTTAATCAATCGGATTTGAATTAGGTGAAACTTTATCCGCCATCTATTAGGAGGAATTACTATTTTGTATTTATGAATAAAGAGCGTGTTTTATTTATCTGATTTTTACTCATTTAATTTTATTTAAATTCACCTGAATTTTTTAAATCTTAATAATAAATTCATATTGAAAATAAACTATGTATATCCTTTAAAAAATTCCACCAATAATTGTCATATAAGATAAAAGAAAATTTCACAAGATTGTGTATACTGAAAAATATCACACATGTAACAAAAATTTAAGTAGAATAGGAGGCTTAGGAGCCTTGTACATGAAAAATACAGGGTTAACCATTATTCTTAAAGATAAATACAATTTACGTACATTAAAAATACAACATCAACTTAGGAACGACAAATAACGTAGTGACCCTAAACAGTAAAACAGTTGAAACTACACACTTAATAAACAACGAGATAGGTGTGACAGTTTGAACCTTACATATATTGATATATATACATAGAAAGTTACAAGATTAATCATTATTCTCAAAGACAATAACGATCAACACACATTAAAAAGACAAATAGACAATTTCAACAACAATTATGCTATACACTCACAAAATCATGCGTAACATTTTAAAAGCAATGACAAATAACGTAGTGGCTTTAAACCGTAAAACGGTTGAAATTCAATAAGTTTTAGGAGTTGTACGCTCAATTGTCATCCTCCAATTCTTGATAAATTTCTTCTGTGCGCTTTCCACGAAAGGTCTTGATCCGATACCAGAACATGGGACGAATGTTAAAAGAAGTGGTGGGAATTGAAACAGATTCACGGGTTTGGGCATTTTCCTCTGAATCGGGGTCAACAATTGGGTCTCTTTTAATGGGCCAATAGTAGACAAATTTACGGGCTGGCTTATTTGAAACACTAGTGTAGCTTCGTTTGATCTTTGGGCTTGGACGGCCCGCAAGTGAGACAGATTCAAGAACTTGACAATTTATCTCAGCATCTCTTTCAACATCGTCCATTTTTGTTCGTGATTACTCTATTAAGGAAAAAACAAAGTGTTGTATGATTAGGAACATTGTTATGGCAAGATATTATGCTTGTACGTATACTTGTTCAATAAATTCGGTTTTTTAATTTAAATCATCCTCTTATGTAAATTGTCTAATACGGAGTAATAATTAGACAGAATTGAGAAAGGCTTGACTTCTAACGTGACATAAACAAGTTCAATACGCAAATGAATACTTCAATTGTTTTTTATTCAAAGGAATCAAAAAAAAAAAAAAAAAAAAAAAAAAAAAAATTGCATCAAAAAAGCTTATCACAAATGCAAGTGCAGGTTAATTATCTTGAAATTGAATGCATGATAACACTATAGTATTTGAAACCATCAATTGTATGAATATTTACTATTTAGTCTAAAAATCATATAGAGAGCATAAGATAGAAACATACGTGGTTTGGGTAATACGGAAGAGAAAAGCACAAGTATAACAAATCTTCTCATTGTGAAACAAACAGATTCGTTTTGATTATAAATAATAATGGGTATAGCAATGAGACTTGTTCAATTTCTATGGAAAGAACAAAAAAATAAAAAAGTACTTGAATTATTATACTAGTATTATTGAAGGGTCACAAATAATGGACTGATTACTGATTATTATTTGATCAAGAAAACGATTGCATTTGACATTTTAGGAGCTAAAGTAGTGTGTAACTCAGGTAGTATCTCAAGTTGTTATTTTTTATGATTTTTGTATATGAGAAAATTTCAAAGTTATAATGTGATCAGTAATTGTCTGACGACATTCGAAAACTTTTACGGAGTATAAATATACCATTATCGTAAGAAAGTTTTTTTTTTTTTTTTTAAAAAAGGTTTAAAAATATAAAATATTTTCTTGTTATTATTGTAGATGTGGTGTAGGCATAATTAACTATGAAGTACTCCATAACAAATATTGTAAGAACATCTAATCATATAAGATTTTTTTTTATTTTTTTTTATTTTAAACCATTTGACATCGATGAGTTGGATTAATGACTATGTTTTTATTTTTTATTCTATAAATCATGTGTTCAAAAGCTTGTACTCCGTTGTAGACTAGTAGTAATTACTATACTTTTGAAAATTAAAGCTACGTGGACATTGAGCATTTGCATGGAGTAGTACCACACATGGCACACAAACATTTTTTGACACGCTTTAGTATATATATTATATATATATATATATATATATATATATATATATATATACATATATAATATTAGTCGGTTATTATCAATCAAATTACTTGGTATATTAATTATTAACAAAGTTGTTGCATGTCGTTGTCTAGATCCAATTGCTCTGTTCATAGTCATTTTAATCTAATTTGACCTATATATACGACAATTAATATTAGGGGGAGAATATCAGAATATCATAATATGATACATATACGTAACCACGTACGGCACATAGGTAAAGAACTAAAAACACATTTTATACTCGTACACAGAAACAATATCTTCTACAAATGTAATGTAACTTGGTAAGTTGGTAGAATGGCTTGACTAATTATCCAAAAAATATACAAAGTATAATTATTTAATTTGGTTATAGAATATACATGTGTTATTTAGAAACTAGACATGCTAATGTGTTGAATTCAAAACATGCTACCGATTATTAAGAACTCTCTAGTCTCTACAATTGTAAAAGGAGAGTGAGTTTACCACAAGAGTTGACCTTGTATATTGCTCTTCAAAATTCCTTGCTATAATGATCCGAATGAATACATCGCACGATGAAAATCAGGATTTCGAACTTAAATTAGATCGAATTTATATGTTGAAGAACATCACCAAGATGACAAACAAAAAAATTAAAAAAAAACTAAGCGTATACGAACTAGAAATTAAGCAATAAAATTAGTCAACCTTGGACATAATATTTGACATTTTATTCGAAGTACATTCATAGGTTTTGTAAAAGAGAACACGGAACGCAATTAAGGTTGTAAGGTATATGATAAAACAATTAAATACTCCGTATAACCTATTTTTATTGTACGTCTTCATCTAGAATTGCTTATCGTAAATAGTATTTTGTACAATATTTAATAATATTTTTTTTAAAAAAAAAAAAACTATAATATATAATAATATACAAAGGTTTTTCTAGGGTGACAGACCACATGGAGTGGAAGGGTTTACTTGTAGAGTGTTACTTGTAAGTGTAACAGTTACAAGTAACCCCATACCAAACCATTAACATTCTACAAGTAACCCCTGACCAAATCAATAACATCATACAAATAACCCCGCCGTATCATATAACTAGCCGCATACAAATTTTTTAAAATATTAAATTCTTAATACTCATCATAAGGTAAAATAAAACTAAAAAAAGGATCGATGTTGCGTTACACGTGATTATCTAATGGTTAATGATCGACAATGTCATATGAATCAGGGAATCAATTTAGGATAGTTTTGGAAAAGATGAAGTTTGAGACTAGACCCATCATTTCTAGCACCAACATTCTTAGCAGGTTTAAAATACAAATATACATAAAGTATAATCGTAATACTGTCATCTTTACGATATTCTTTATTCATTTGGCGGTGGAGATACAGGATGGCCTTAGATTGTAAATCTATCTAAGATTAATCTTTATTAATAACTAGTTTTGTGCCCGTGCGATGCCCGGGTTGTTTATTGAATTTTAAAATTAATTTTTAATTTATATGTCAAATTTTAAAACATATCATTGATACAAATTAGTTAGGAAATTATGTGTTTTAATTTTGTGATAATTTAAACTATATAGTAGGCATATAATGACTACTAATAATAATAATATTGGTGAAAATATTTCTTGACCCGTAACTTGAAATAATCATTTGGCGTTGACTTGGTCACGTGACACTTGGTGAAAGAAAAGGGTCATTAAGTGTCACGTGATGGTCACGTGACTATCAACACCGGAGAACTTTGGTCAAACTCCTTCATAATCCGGCGTAAGGTAGTAAATTACAACATTTTTCGAAAATTAGGTAGTCAATTACAACATTTTTTTAATAGGTAGTTTATCGCAAATTCTGGACTATAATAGGTAGTTTTTCACAAAATTTCCTAGTATGTATTATAAATAATAGATGTGGTACATTTTGAACTAATTCCTTTACTTCAAAAAAAAATATTATGATACAAAAAATAAAATTATATGATAATTTATGAGAGTTATAATGTAATTATTTTTTGAATAAAATTATAATTTAATTTGTAAATATTGATACTTTATCGAAAATATAACTCTAAATTAACAATTTTATCCTAAAATTATATCCAAATTTGATTGAAAATAGAATTCTTAACGAACTTTTTTATCCTACAAATTGAATTCTGTATAACTCTATCCTACGTGGCGCGACACTTGGCGAAAAGTTAGAATGTCAAGTGTCGTTGTCTCGTCGCCTGGCTAAAAATTTAGCTTTATATATTAGTTATATAATGTACTGTACTAAAATCCTTAATATATTAGTTACTGGTATTATTGTAACAATTTCTTAATAATAATCGTCGTCTTTTAATTTCTGAGTCTTCTTTAAGCTAGGTATATTGGAGATGTAAGCGATGCTATTACAAATGGTCTCATAAAACCGTCATATGTGCCTACATCACTTCAGTTAGCTGACATTTTCACGAAGGCTTTGAGAAAAGTCAAGTTTGATTTTTTTACTCAGCAAGTTGGGTATCTATGATCCGTATGCTTCAACTTGAGGGGGGTATTAGAAATATTCTAAATACTCTAGGATATATTGTGATATTATTGTGATTAATTTAGGTAACATATCTTGTAAAAAGATATGATAAAATATTGTGGAAAGTTTTGGGTGTCATGTTGTTATCCTAGCTTTATACTTGTACGAAGTATATTCTTGTATTGTGGTCATGGAGTTTAATGTGAACACAGAGAATATATTCGTAATTTGTCTCTAATTTAACAAGGTAAAAGAATATCACATTTTCATTTTAGCTAAATGATCCTCACAAGTTATAGTTATATATTTCTCTCTCCGTTATATACTCCCCACACATTTTAAATAATAAATCTTCTTTCACTTGTTCATACAATTTTTAATAATGCTATAATTTAAAATAAATTAAATACAAAGGGACGAAAAAGGTATAAGGCGTGAATGTCCTTAACTGATCTGATACATACATTGATACTCCATCTGTTTTTAAATACTTGCTTTATTTCTTTACGTGCGGAGTTTTAAGAGGAATTGTATAAAGAAATAAAATTTAAAGGTAATGGTGTACCGGTGTTAGTGGAAGGTAAAGTAAAGGAGAGATAATCTAAAAGTAATAAAATTGGGTCCCACTAGTTGAAAGAAATGAATTAACGGCTATTTCACCAAATGCCACTAAGCACTTTAAAAATTCACCAAATGCCATCAGACTTTTCAGAATTCACCAAATGCCACCGAGTTTTTAAAAAATTCACCGAGTGCCATTAATGACTAACGGCAGTTAACTCCGTTAGTCATTAAGGCTAAATATACCACGTGGTGGCTTATGATTGGTTGCTTATTAAAAACCACCCACCCATCATGACTCAGCCCGACCACCGTCTATCACTGCCACCACCATATCCCCATCTCCAACCAATCCCCACCGCGGCGGCGACCCACCCCTGAACAACCGAGCCGGCGAGCCGGCGACCCAGCCTTGAACAACTGCACCGCCGGCGACCCAGCATAGCCAGCCCGCATCGACAACGCACCCAACCGATTCGCAAACTCTCCTTCTCCCTCGAAAATCCCTCCCCTCACCACCGCCGACGACCAAAGCCCCCCTCCCCACGCCGGAGAACCCAAATCAGTTCATCCCCTCCGAGCTCCACCCTTTCAACCACCACGTCGGAACCCTAAATTAAAATCCCCAAAAATTGAAATCTAGGGTTTCGACACCTTAAACCCCAATATCAATTTCCCTAAATTCGTAACCCCCTCCACTCCATCCCTCCTGCTCCAACGAACCCAAACCACCTCTTTCCCTCCCATCTCCGTCCACCCCCTGAACCACCTATCTTAAAATCGAAAACCAAATTTGGTTTCGATTTTGGAGATTTCGTTTTTGGGGTTTTATTAGGGTGTCGAGGATGGGTGTTTAGGGGGGAGTGGATGCAGATGGTAGGGGGCATAGGGTCAGGGGGAAGGGTGGCCGTCGACGATGTTGGTCGCCGGTGGGGGTGGAGGCAAGGGGTTGGGCTGGCGTAGGGGCGGTGGTGCGGTGGGAAGATTGGTCGGGGTTCGTTTTTTTTTTTTAATTTTTTTTATAATTTTTTTGATAAATAAAATAATAATAAAATGAACCAATTAGAATATGCCACGTGGCATAATTAGCCTTAATGACTAACGGAGTTAATTACCGTTAGTCATTAATGGCACTCGGTGAATTTTTTAAAAACTCGGTGGCATTTGGTGAATTCTGAAAAGTCCGATGGCATTTGGTGAATTTTTAAATTACTCAATGGCATTTGGTGAAATAGCCGATGAATTAAATATTATAAAATCTTTCAAAAAAAGAAAATGGACTAAATATTTAAAAACGGTCGAAAAAAAAAAGTGGAACAAGTATTTTAAAACGGAGGGAGTACATATATACTTCGTAGTGGATGTTTCTCCATGGAAATATGATTGCCCTATCATTTTAATGATAAACAATACTCATCGATCCATTTTTTCACACTACAATATAGACACATTTAGTATTCTAATATTTACAACACAAATATAATTTTTAAAAAATTTCATCCAATAAAATACACAAATTTTTATATGCGGCCTATTGTACCGTGCGGTAGGGGTTACTTGAGTTTTTCAGTTAGGGGTTACGTACTTGAGTTTCTTGGTCAGGGCCCAGGGGTTACTCGAGTTTTTCGGTCATGGGTTACTCAAGTTGTCGGGGTTACTCGAATTTCTCGGTCAACAGTTTCTCGAGTTATAATTTTTTTCCATGCGGCTTGACTGAGAAACTCGAGTAACCACTGACTGAGTAACCTTAATCGAGAGAACCTCTTGAGTAATCTTGAATGAGTATCTCTAATAACCCTTTGACCGAAAAACTCAAGTAACCTCTGACTGAAAAACTCAGTTAACCCCTAACCAAAAACTTGGGTAAGCATCAAATAATGTTATAGAATTTTCACTAATATATGACTATATGAGTACATATGTATTATGTACCTCTTAAATCTGGTTGGTGCATGCATGATGCGTTATTCTGCTCTAGACGTGTGGTAATTATGGTATTAAGTATTAACTAATAAAAAAAAAAACAATTAATTTGATTACGTACATGATTCAGATAATTGTCTATATTGCCGTATACTTTAGGAAACTGTCAGAAAATCGCAACGTTTTTCTGACCAAAGCAAAATTATACGAGTACTACTCTATTATTCTCTTCTGCAACGACTACGAGTACTATTTTTGATAAAATTATTGAAGAAGTGGAAATCTGACTCAAAAGTTTATAAGAATAGCTTTAGATATTCCTTTTACATATACGAGTATGAAAGTAGAACCTTAATTAAACACCTTCATTCTTTTTGTCACTTCATTTAATTTAGAATATCCCGTTTGAAGAGGCATGAAAGTAGAACCTTAATTAAACACCTTCATTCTTTTTGCACATTTCACTTAGAATATTTCATTTGAAGAGGGACAAGTTTTACCATATATATTCATTAATTAGTACTACTTGAGATCTTATGATATATCTCGATGTATGTTATGGATTCAAAACATAATCTTTTTGTGTTAATTACTGTACATACAGTATATGTGCACAATGGTTTAAAAAATTGTAACTAAATATACGATGTGCATTACAAACTTAGAAGAAAAGTAAATAAATCAGATAAACAAAAAAAAAAAACAGATGTAATATTAATTACTCTGTAGAAACATTAGCTTAGGAAGGTAACAACATACGCATCTTATAAAAGATGACACACAAAGAACAACATTACTAGCTCATACATGTTGCTCAAAACAACAATTAGAACACATTGCATAAACACAAAGTACTTCAATGTCATGAGTTATAGCTAACTAGCTAGCACTCAAAGAAACCAGATCAGATCGGATCGGACCGGAGCACGATCGATACTTATTAGGCGCAAGGTTTGTAACAGAAACAACGGCGGCGGAAGCCACGGCAACGGCCACCGGGAAAACCCTCAGTTTTGCAAATATTAGCACAGTTTCTCCTGCTAACACACAGTCCCCTGAACCTGTAACTTGCTGACTCGCAGTATCTTGCTTCTGCCACCTTTGCACCAATATCTGTATTTGATAAATTGCACATTAAATATCACACGTATATTTAATTTGGCTAACATTATTATTGCATCACAAGTACTAATTAGAATTTTTTTAAAAGGTAAGAAAAATAAAATAGTAGTATTAGAAATTTGAACAAAAATAGAGTAATACTTTTACTAGAACAAAGTTGAGTACATCTAACTCTTTTGTCCGATCTCTTTTTACAAGTTTATTAGTAGGAGATTTATTTATAGCTTGAAATTAAAATAAAATCTAGTGTTATAAAACTGAATCCGATCATGTTGTTGAGACTCGTTTATTTTATTATTTATACTTGTCACCTTAGATGGTATAGTAGCTTAATATTAAGATCAGATCAAGTTATTATTACGGAGCTAGTATATACTTAGCATGTAAGACTTTTTAATGACTACATATATTTGCATGTATTTTATATAATATTCAAACTCAAGCAAACAACAAAAAAATTGAGTAGGGTTATAAATTAATTGAAATAGAATGATGAATTAATTGAAAGAGAATATAAACCTGTGGAAATCACAAGCACAAGCATGAGAAGAACAACTGAAAACACACGTGAGGACCGCTCCATTTTAGTTTCCCTCTCTTTCTTTCTCTCACTACACTTGAATTAAAAAAACGAGGGTAGATTTTGTGGCACACTACTATCACTGCACTAAGCACCTCTTTATATAGCCACAGCTATCCTTTATTATAATCAATTACATGTTGATGAAGTGGTGATTGGGAATATATTTGATAGGAAGGACCCGAGTTTAATCTCTCGCAACAATAATTGAAAACGGACTGAAACCTAACCACTCATAACTGATTTCTGAATCCGGATTAGTCCAAAGAGTCAATCGGGTGGATATAAATAAATAAATAATTAAAAAAAGAGCTATCCTTTATTATTATTATTATTATTATTATTATTATTATTATTATTAATAAATAGTAGACCTCAAGTGAGTATATGGTTCAGGATGTTCACCTCTTATAACCATTAAAATCAGTGTTCAAATTACTTGTTCGGTATAAAATAAATTTGAATGATGATATTATTTGTTTTACTTTGTAATCGGTGTAATTGAAATTACATCATAGATTATTATTGATCAAAGTTCAATATCCTTTACCTATAGACTTATATATACACATATTCTTATTTATGATCCAGTTACACATTTAGTTTAATGATGGTGCGACCATTCCACGTATAAAACACTTAATTGCGTAATAAGGATTGTAGTACAATGAGTAATTTGTTTTGTGTATCACTGTAATTAACATTGGTTAAAATAGTCAGATTATGTATTATACTACCCTACTAGCATTGATTTTAAAACAGAGAAAAATAACACAATAAAGTATTATTATACTAACCTAGCTACTAGCATGTTCGATATCTAGAAAAAGCTACTGAAAATAAAGATTTGGAAAAAGCATAGATCAACAAAATAAGTGATTCAAATGAAATAATTATGTATATGTGGAGTAGGTCTCTTTTCTCTTTTGCGTTGGTTAACATAACATTGATTTCCTTTTGAAATGACAATTACACTTACATTAGACATTAGCACATTAGTGACATTACTATATGTATAGTGTTACTATTATTTTCTTGCCTTTTTATCTTCTTACTTGTCATCAACATTATCGGGCATTTTCTCGATCTTGTATCTTCTCTTTTTATGGTCTTCCTTTGCTTTACTTTCATGTGGGGCCACCTTTTTCATGCAAATTAATTATCTTTTATTTTTTGTATTTCTTAGGTGTAAAATTTTGCAGCGCATTTTGTGTGTGGCCGCTTATAAAAGAACAAAGTAATCTATATAAAATTGACCAAGTAACCTCTATAACACTAACTGAGTAATCCTATAGTGTACTGACAAAGTAACCCCTTTAACACTGACCAAGTATCCCCTATTACCCTAACGAAATAACTCCTGCCACACGGTGTGACCAGCCACATATAACACTTCTGTAAATTTTGAAGTTAGGTCTTGTGTTTGGCTATCAATTATGAGATTGAAACTTTCATCTTTAATTTCTTAGCTTTTTGCATGAAAGTAATAAAGTCCACCTAATTTCTTTTTTTTTTTTTTTTTCCTTCTGGTTGTTTATGTTTGACGTGCTACACGTTTTGAGAATCATTCATCATATTTCTAAGTGTAATAATTACTATGTACATACGTCTTGAATCATAATTCAGAGAAAGAATTAATTGACATGCATGAATGCATGATAGAATTTAAGTTGCGGGTCGCGGGTGGAAAACAATACTCCTTCACTTCTACCTCATCTAATAGGTTATTATAGAGTAGTATAACATTTAACTTAGAGCGTTTGTCAATATTTAAATTATTTGATTGTTAATTTGTTTGATAATCTATTAGTAGAAAACTCCCGTAATAACATTTTACTAAGGTACATAATTAACACTATGATTATGTGATAATACTATATGGACAACGGGTTTTTATGATAAGATTAAGAGTAATTATGGACATATTAAAGTTTGTCATCTTGACATGTTCCATCACGGTTATACATATATACATATTCTTTTTAACTTTTGTGGTGGACTTGCCCGAGTCACAACTAAGTAAACACTAATTGTACGCGTTTTCCTTTTCATAAATAATAGATTCACTCCAGCCATCTTAATCATATCAAGTTTATTAGTTAGGTCAAGTTCGTGGCCTTCATGCTTGTATATGTTAGATCAAACCAATCAAGAATTTTTAATTAGAAAAATTGATTCTAATAATCCCACTTTTGGCCGGTTCGCCATTAATAATCCCACTTTTTGATTATTATTTAATAATCCCACTTTTTGATTATTATTTAATAATCCCACCTTTATAGGCGATTTCCTTCTATTGGTCCCTAACATATTGGTAACCGGTTTTATTAGGTGAATATGCTATGTGTCACTTTGTGATTAGTTGAAAATTGTAAAAATTAAAAAATAAAAGAAAAACCAAAAAATTAAATAAAAAAAAAATCTCAGCCATATCTCTGTATCTCAACCCCACGCCACTCTCTATCCCAACTTCCGGCCACCCCCTTTCCCACCCCCACCACCACCGGAATATTCCCCTCTTCACGACCCACTGTATGACAACGCCCCCCTCCACATCACTTTTCCTCTTTTATTCCCCTTTCTCCAACTTCTCACTGCTCGTTAATCTCTCTCCATACTGAAGCATTATCAATGGCTCCCAAAATCCCTAAACCTCCGCAAAACTCTTCAAAGCCCCAATAAACCTCAACCAATTCAAAATACTACGAAGCTATACCAACCGCAAAACACTAGCATCAAGCGAAATTGGTCAATAACTGATTTCGAAATCAAAAATCTACCTTGCTTGTGAAACAAAGGGGGTTTTCCCCAATTTTGCAGTAGTAATTGTTTATTTATTCAATTGTTTTGAATATGTTTTCAATTTTCGATTTTGATGGAGCAAAGTACATAGTGGTGTTGAAAGTGATATTTAAGGAGAAAATGAGAAGTATATACTGCATCATCAATTAAGGAGAGACATGGAGATTCAAATGGGTTTACGCCACCGGAATGTTCCGAGGCTTTATGAGTGGTTTCATGATGAAGAAAGGATTGTTTTTATCCTTAAAATGGAGAAATTCAGATGGAGCTAGGGGGTGGTGGGGTGTTGTCGTGAGAGGGGAAAATCCCGGTGGTGGTGGGGGTGGGGAAGGGGGCTGCCAGAGGATAAAGGGGGTGGCCGGATGGGAAGGGACGAATGTCGGAATTTCGGGTTGCCTTCCGTGGCTTTGGGGATGGCTGAGTTTTTTTTTTTTTGACCAATAACATAATAACACATGTCACTTAAATAAGAATTAAAAAAATTACCCATTGTACAGGTAACCTGTCACAAGGGACCATTAGAAGAGAATCTCGTATAAAGGTGGGATTATTAAATAATAATCAAAAGGTAGGATTATTAACAGCGAATCGATCAAAGGTGGGATTATTAGAATCAATTTTTCCTTTTTAACTTTCAATTTGGAATTTTATATAGGTGATTTCGATTTTGGAGTTACATTTATTAGCTCCATCAATAGCCGTAACATTTATAAGAATATAATAAATCAGATTTTTGGCTAGTAATATTAATCCACATCCATTATTGTTTAAATTAGTCATCATCACTGTTAATTACTCTCATTATTTATATTTTTTATTTATTTATTTTTTTTATGCTTTGTCACTTTTTTTTCTCGCAAAAAGATAATGTGTAGAATAAAAAAGGAATGGAAGGAGTGGTATACATTAAACGATTTATTAGTCTGAAGTTCAAATTGTATGAAATTTATCAATATGAATGGTACAAAGGTATTAATAATTTGATGAGTGTGGTATAGTTTTTTTTAATACTTGTAATTGTTACTTTATTATCAAAGAGATCGAAGTAAGATACATGAACTTAGAGATTTTGTTAAAGTAGCATGAATTTGGCGCATAAGTGTCACAATATCCGTCATAGGTGATGTTTTGAATAGGGTAAAAGTATGACAGATTTTACTTAAACTTTCTTTTCACAATGTTAAAAATTCATTGTAGTACATAACATAAATGTAAATAAATAACTCCATTTGATTAAAAAAAAAACCCATGTTATTATTCAAAACAACCCCATACAGAAAGGTAATACTCATTACATGTACTCAGAAAAAAAAAAAAAAAAAAGGTGATATTCGTTACATATTGAACACACTATCAAGGTGACATATATGAAATGGTGATCTATATTATATGGAGTACTCATCTGTATTTGGTTATTTTGGTATATATGCATGCTAAATAATTAATTAGCAATGTTTAGTGCAGAAGCATCTACGACGGAAGCCTCGGCAGTGGCCTCCCTGGAAGCCTTCACCTTGGCAAATAGCAGCACAGTTAGCCTTCCTCCCACATAGCCCCTTGAACCTATGGCTTTTAGTCTCGCAAGTTCTAGCCTCCGCGACATTTGGCCCTAGCTCTATTCATACACAACAATAACAACGTATTAAATATTAATTCCGTATTACTGTGATCATATATAAATTAAACACCCTAAAAATTTGGTAACGATTTTATAAATTAAGATCAACAAACCTACCTGTAACTGTAAACATAAGCATCACCAAAATAAGAGCCGAAAATACACGAATAAGGCGTGCCATCTTAGCTTGCTAGCTTCTTCTTAATGCTTGAAATCAAAATTAGTCAAGACCTTAATAGCACAGATATAATGATATATATATTATAGTGTATAATATATGGTACATTTATATAGCAAATGGTAAAGGCAAAACCGAGTATATTTTAATTTTAACAAGAAGTTTAGGAATATTAATTAATACCTGGAAATGTAATGAATCAATATGTACACGTTACAAAAAGCAGGGTGCATGAACTAAAAGAGAAAGTTCAATCTCAAAAGAAAAATCCACGTTAGTTTGCATGATTGTATTCCCACCTATTGTAATGTTTGTATTACTACTAAATTGTTTGATTTTAATCGATACTTCACACTACTTTTTAAAAGAGCATAATCATTCATGATATTAGTCTAAGCTTTGGCTATGCCATTTCGAATTAAATATTGATGTTGCAGCTTATCCTACTTGTATACTTACGTACGTACATACATATAATATGTTATGCGTAGTATATGCTTTGAATTTATGGACTCTATTAACCTTTTAAACTTAATAAGAATATTTTATATTTTTTCCAACATATGAGATCTTGAATTCATTGGTCTTAATGAGTCTTGTAAACATCAAAGTGTTATAATTTTCGTTTCCTTCTATTGAAATTGCTTCTTACTCCATGATTCATTAAGTTTGCCCCTTAAGTTCATAACTGATTAAGAGGCTACCATCAATGTTTTTCTTATCAACTTAATCCAATCAAAACTAAATAAGTACCATAAATATTACGAGTAAGTACTATATAATACGGAGTACAAAACGAGTACGAAATCATTCTCCTACAAGGACTAAGGCAACCCAATGGCACGGTGGGATTACATGACGGTACGAGCTTATTTGATTCCAGCAAATTGAGTTATGTGAAGTGGATCTCGCAAAATGGTCAGCATCTATTGTAGTTGGGCCAACTAATGTATTGCAGGCTAAATGCTGCTGGGCTACTGGATTTCTTATTGAGCTTTCAGCTTTCTATAATCTGGTCCATGTGATGTGGTGGACCTAGTAATTTTATTTTTATTTTTATTTTGTTAACTAAAAAAATTCTATATCTATACTTAGTATTTAAAAACAAAAATCATCATCAATTCATCCCCATCATGCCACATGTAATTAAAATTTATTTTTCACCAATGCCACATGTCACCTCCCTTCATTAATTAATCCCCTTTCTTATTATTTTAAAAAAGAACTAGCTTTAATTCAATACATGTATGAATGTTCCCTTCAAAAACAAAAAAACAAAAAAAAATACATATATGAATGTTATTTGATTCATTTTCCCCCAACTTAATATCTCTACAATTACATTCAATTATCACCCATTCTTCTCCTTTATAAACTATTCATTTTCCAATTAAAACATATTATAAAACAAAAGTTACTATTGTACCCCTTATAAACATCCCGTGCATTTGCACGGATCAGAATGCTAGTTCATTATTAAAATAAAGTAAAATGATACTTTCAAACAATGAGCCTTATCTCCATTCCCTCCTCTTAAAAATGATCTTAGGTTCTGTTCGATAAATTGTCATGAAGTTGATTAGTAGTTTGATATTCTATAATGAATTTGTATTGACTGATTTAACTATTTGATTGTAAATAGTTGCTGGTAATCTGGTATAAAAGTGTTTGGTAGATGTCTATAAATTTTAAAAATTCCAATCATTATTTAATAATAAACACTGTTCAAAAAACTTTTTTCATGAGCTTTTTTTTTAGCACAAATAGTTCTTTTTGTAATAATTGTTTACAAGAAAAGAAAATTAGGAACTCAACTGAAGAGAACATGCCCTAAGTTGAGATTATTTCAGAATAATAAAAAAAGATGAGATTATTTTTTTTTTTTAAAAAAACGGTCAAAGTTAGGATTATTAATACCAAAGTAGTTCTTTTCATAATGATAAAATATTTAGAGTGTATTCTATTCACTTAATTTTCATTGATCAGAACTTATCTTTACTTTTTAGAACTTATTAAACCTTATTAGAATTTATTTTAGCTGCAATTTGTACTTGCGTAACCTTTATCAGGACTTATTTAACTTGAACTGAACTTATCTAAACTTAGGCCCTGTTCTCTTCACCTTAAAAAAATAATATTAAGTAAAAATAGTTTCAGTTCAATAAAAATAAGTTCAGTTCAGTAAAATTAATTTCAGTTCAGTAAAAATAAGTTCAGTTCAGCAAAATTCAGTTTTATTAAAAAAGAATTATAATAGAAAATCAGTAAAAATAATTCCAGTTTAGCAAAAATAATTTCAGTTCAGTAAAATTAATTTAAGTTCATTAAAAATAATTTCATTTCAGCAAAAATAATTTCAGTTCAGTAAAATAATTTCAGTTCAACAAAATTAAGGTGAAGAGAACGGGGCCTTAATTGAACTTCTTACACCTGAAATAAGTGAAAATAAGGTAATAGAATAGACCTTTAACAAACCATGAGCTAAAAACTCTAAAAAAAACTCTACCCCTAATAAGAAATTACTTATTATGGAGTAGTTGGACTAATTTAATCGGTATACCAAGACATTTATCAAAATTCTCTAAGTCGCTTTAAATAAATTTAAAAAAATTTATTTGAATGACTATAATACACCCTATATATTTCAAGAATGTTTTCTTTTTTAAAAAGTATTTTATGGTTACCGAGTAATTAATTATTTTTCGAGCAAACAATTATTATTATTATTATTATTATTATTATTATTAAATAACAAAAACCTACAAAGTCAAAAGATTTACAAGAAATTAGTGGGGAGCCGAGATACAATCTGGGCCCCCACCCCTCTAGCTATAGCGAACCCAATCCTGTTAAAGATGTGAGCAGCCGCACGAGCTCCAATATCCTGAGTCCTAGCGAACGCCTGAACCCGCTTCAGCAACGCAACAACATCCTTCTCTAATTCCCCCAATGAAGAAAAGGAGAAAGGAAGAAAACCATAGCCAATAGCCCTGCAACGCGCCCCATACTTGTCTCGCTTCCGCTGAGCCGCAGCCGACATAACACGACCAGGAACGAAGTTAGACAACCCAGATTGAGTCAATGGAGAAGACCCCGTCAAGTCAACACATACATCTAGGCCTCTATCCCAGGAGTTAAGCAACACATCTGCTGGCCGAAGAGCCCCGTCGTTCCCTCCAGTTAACCCAACGTTGACCTCCTTCCTTGCAGAAATCCCAGAGCGGAAACAAATATCAACAAGGGTATCACGAACAACGTTATGCCGATGTTTAATACCCACCATCCCAGCACAAGACACTGCATGATCCCCATAAATATCCCCATCAAAAACTCTTGAGCAAGCAGAACAAGGTGCCGATACGGAGAACAAGGGAACACCCAACCGGTAGCAAAGAACACAACGGTAAGTCTTACCATTCATAGTCTGACCCAGACCTGATATCGGGACCGCTCGCAACCAGGCAGAAGAGTAATCCCCCTGCTGGGACTTCCATAAGGCAATCTGACGCGGAGACAAGGAGAAAGTGGATTCTGCAGATGCAGTGACCTTTGTGAAATATATATCTGCCAATTTCTTCATGAGTTTGGGGGCAGCGATCTCACTAGGGTAACGCAAAAGGTCAGTCTCCACAGTCCTATTAAAAAGACTAAGAGCGTCGTCGAAGGCCGGACCTGGACCAACAATACCAGAATTGCGAAGAAGCGAAGCCTGTAGACCAGAAGACTGCAAACGCGACGCAAGGAAAGCATAGTGTCGAGCATCACCCGCTGAATAGACACCCAGTCCTCCATAAGAAAAAGGTAAGGTGGCAAGGCGCCATTGCCAATCACCAAAACCTGGCCCCGAAGCAGTTACAATGCGCTCCACAGAACCTCGAAGGGCCACATCAAAAGAAATCTGGGCCGCTTCAAAAAGACGAGGAGGACAAGTGCGCATAGAAAAGTAGAGTTTTGAAACTCCAGTACACGCACGAAGAAGTAATAACTCACATTGGGATCCTCAAGCTTAGCAACAGCATCCATGAGCACAATGGTCTTCGACACCCTCTGCCAAACAAGCTCACCACAGAAAGAGGCATCCGCACTGACAGGACCCCCAAGCAACTTAACACCATGAGCAGGACGAGCAATATCTGGAGGAAAGACACCGGCCAGACGGCTACGAGGGTCCTTCGTGGGCCAGAAAACTTCCGTTTTCTCAACGTTAACATGGAGACCAAGACGAGGTCCCTCCACCAAAATCAACTCCATAACCTTCCCTACCACCAAGGTGTCACCAATAATAGTGCCATCATCCAAATACCAAGCCTGCAAACATAAGTCAAAAGAATCCCTAATTTGACAAACCAACGGATGGAGCACCAAAGCAAAAAGCAAAGGGCCAAGTGGATCACCCTGCTGCACACCCTGACATGACCTTAAGGTATGCTCCCCATAATAGAGCCTGGCTGGAGTAGAGTAACAGAATTCAACCCAACGCGAAAGAGCTGGACAACGGAGACGAACCTCACGCAGTAAAGCCGTACGATCAACCAAATTAAAGGCATTCCGGAAATCCACCAGCAACATAGAGAGGCCAACATCACCACCTCGAGCCTCAACCAAACGATTAACAGCATGAAGAATAGCCTCGCCACCCGCCGGCACCCCAACACCAAACTGAAGACCTCCTAAATAGTTCCCCATACGCGGACCAACTAAAGCAGCCCCAACCTTTGAAACCAGACGCCGCCAAACAGTACCCACAGCAATAGGACAAATACCACCACCAGGCTTAACAAGTGGCGTGAGAGGAGCACTAGCAATATACTCCCCCAACTCAGCAGGACAATTTCCTGCGAGAAAGAGATTAACCACCTGCGTAATAGAGCCCACCAACTCATCTGAAATAGCAACCGCAGCACCACTCAAGCAATCCAGAAGGTGCTGAGCACGCAAGCCGTCTCTACCGCATGACATACCACGCGGAAAACCCCTAATTTGATCCAAAACAACAGCAGATGTAGCAATAAGGGGCTGATCAACGGGGATATCCGGTAAGATAGGAGCCGGAAAGGAAGGGTGCTTAGCTTGTAAATCAGCAAGAGTAGCATCATTGTAAGGGGCAAGACCAAAAGACGAAAGAACCCGAACCGCAGCAGTGTAATGTCCGTCACAAATCTTTCTCTTACATTGCTTAATATTTCGCTCAGACAAATCATGCTCATCATCAGCTTCCAACAAAGGAGGAGACACATCTGCCAACGTATCTCGCACAAGATGCACAGAACCACCAGGCTCACACCAAGAACGAATAACAGCGGTGATACTCTCTTCCTGCCGCCGCCGCCGGACACCCGAAGAACACTCACGACTACTCCTCGGGGTAAAAGTTTTAAGAACACAAAGAGGCAACACAAGTAGTTGAACCCAACAAGAGACGTCATCAGGCTTGCAAATCACCTTATCAAGCGCTCCTTTGAGAACCCGAGAAAAACCCAAGCGACACTTTGGAGTAATAGATTTCACCGAACGAAACCGCTTAGATAGCAAACTATCCAGGAGAGCAACATCGAACGCCAAAAGAGGCTGACGAGGCGCACTAGAAACAAGATCAGATACCTCCGAAGAAAGACCCTGAGGTTTAGGAAAACCATAAAGAACAAACCGAACAACACCATCCCCCAAATCAGGTGGGTCCACAATATCATCCGAACCACGACCATGTCGACACTTATTATTATTATTATTATTATTATTATTATTTTTGACGGGAGAATGGGGGCTATTATTATTTTGAGAAAATTAAGTAACCCGTATTTTTGTATGGTTGATAAATTACTCTTCAAGCAAACATTTTATTTTAAATAAGAAAAAAAAAAACACTTAAAAAATTGTTCCGCAAGAAAACAATAACCATCTGAATAAATTCTCCCTCTAAAAATGATCTCATCCTCTTAAATAAAGGGTTTTAGCTTGAACTTCTCCATTCTAGGGCTTAAGCACAGAAATTCTTCAAGCATTCAAAACCTGCTAAAAATGTCGATCTCAAGATTAGCAAGAACTAGGGTTCTTGAATCTTCTCGTCATTTCTTCAACAATTTTTCGCACCAAAATTCAATTACTTCTTCTCCGATTCTCAATCAACTAAGAAGTATCTCTACTTCATCGATTCTCAATCAATCTCCTTTTTATCCCTCTAATAATTACGCGGCGCTACTTTCTCAGTCTCGCAATTTCTCCTCTGGTCGTAATTTTGATCCTTATGAGAGGTATATTTTCTTGATTTCGATTTAGAAATGTAATCTCGTTTCTACATTTTTTCTTGAATTTGTGTTAATGCGACTTAGAATTTTCGTAGTTGTAATTGAAAATGTTCGTTGTTAGTGTGATTCTTGAAATATTGAAGTAATTGTTGCTCTTAATTTTTGGTTTGAACTTGTAACTTCTTGAGAGTTTGTGATTTGTGGTGAATTTATGCTTAAATGAGTTCAGATTTTGGTTTATGCTTTGATTATTGTACTCAATTTTTGTTGAATTTGTGTTATTGTGAAAATTGTAGTGGTAATTTGCAAATGTTGTTATAAATGATGTTCTTATTATTCGACTTCATTTGAGCAGCGAAATTTGCGATAAATTGTTTGCGATAATTTATTTGATGTTCTCCATTAATTTTGACGCACTCTTCTTTGCTCTTTCTATTGTACATTTTTGTGTGGTTTGCTAAGAAATGTTTGCTCAATTACAATTTATAGACCTTAGAGTTTATGCTGGAATAATTGATATTCTCAATTTTCTATGTGAGATGATGAGTTGTTTGTTGAGATGATTTGAGAGTTGAGACAACATTTTGGATGATTAACATTTTGCAAATGATGAATTAATGGTAGATACAAGTATACAATGATGATTTTGGAGGTTTTTGCAATTGTATTGTGTTAGTATGTTGGGATATCAGTGTAATTTGTACGCAACTTGACTATTTGAGTAGGTATATGAGAAGGACAGCTATCAATTGGGGTATAAGATTTGTGCCTCAACAAGAAGCTTATGTCATTGAACGTTTTGGGAAGTTCAGTAGTGTTCTTGAAGCAGGGTTGCATTTACTAATACCATTTGTGGACCGAATCGCATACATACACTCACTGAAAGAACAGACCATCGAAATTCCTGAGCAACCTGCTGTGACTACTGACAATGTTAGCATTAGGGTGAATGGTGTCCTCTTTGTCAAGGTATTCTGGTACTTTCTTGTGATTGTGTGTGTAATTTTTAGTTGTAGCCAGATTGTTATCATACTCCACACCCTTTTTCCACTTGGTATAAAAGTTGTTATCGGCAAAGCAGTGACATATTAGTATAATATTAGTATGCACATATGACTCTTTTTAAAGTTTTTATTGGTGAAGCAGTGACATATTAGTAATTCACTATCCAGAGCGTTTGTTTACGTTATTTATAGTTCAATGCACTTAGTGCTAAATGGGGAGGAGAGGAATGGTGCTAATGGAGAATAACTAAAAAGTAAAAACATAGACTAAAGTAAATATAAAATACTGCAAAAACAGAGAAAAATATGATGTGAGCTGTTTGCGCATGCTCCAGTGCAAAGCTAAGTTCAAATGAATCCACATATTAAGTTTTGTATCAATATGTTACTGCTGGTGATTAGTGTTATACCAGTGTGACAAAAGGCTGCAAAGTTTATCAACAATTTGGCTACTTGCTATTTGTTGCGTGTGCTGAACTTAGGAATGTCAAATTGTAGGTCATTGATGCAAAACAGGCGTCATATGGCAATGATAATGTCCTCTATGCAGTAACTCAGTTAGCACAAACTGTGATGCGTAGTGCTATTGGAAAAATGCCACTTGACAGGACCTTTATGGAGAGAGACACTATAAATGCAAACATTGTGGTATGATTCTTATTACCCTGTCTTTAATCCTTTGCTATTTGCTATTATACATTTATCTCTGAATATTGACATATATATATATATATACCTTATGCTTGCGGTGTATGATCTTATTTGCCTTAGTAGGGTTTCTTCATATTGTGTTTCAATGCGTGATGTATGAGTAAGTTTATAATTTACACAACATTTTGATGTTGAATTCTTCAGTTACAGCTCATGTGAAACCATACTGTATTTCCATGCAATTGACGATAGTATCTATAGATTTGTCATTTACCACATTATACCTTGTACTATATGCTATCGGATTCCTTTATAAAATTTGATCTATAGAAACTCAGGTGACGAGATGTACATAGCATATCATAGTTGAGATAATGCTTTTTTCCCTATATACTAATTGTTGATTGCTGTGCTTAACTCTATCTGGCTCATATATTTGCTCCAAGTACATGCAATAAAATTGTACTACTGATAGTATTTTAGAGAGATTTCAACTGATTATTGCTTTATTAATTATATATAATCAGGAAGCTATCAACGAAGTTGCCTCACAGTGGGGTCTTATCTGTCGCCGTTATGAGATAAGTAAGCGGCTTTTATCACCAACTTATACTCAAAACTTTTAAATTCAACCTAAAATTTTTTTCCCCTCTAAATGCTTTTCTTTGTTTATTATTCAAATTCTTCAGGGGATATTCTTCCACCTCCTGGGATACGAGAAAGTATGGAAAAGCAAGCTGAAGCAGAGAGGTTGAAAAGAGCTTTAATCATTGAGGCAGAAGGTCTGTCAAGCTTTACCCTTCTATTATTTTTGACTTTGAATGTGAATGCTGTTAAGTGTGGGTTATTATATACATATCATCATGAGCTGAACTCCAATACCGAGTATCATCAGTTGGGTGTCGGAGTCTGTCCATCTTACTTAGCCTTTTGGAAAGAAGATCAATTCCCATTTACTTTTTAACCTGTTATACAATATTGTCTAACATATGATGAGTTGAGTAGAATTTGTTCCTAGTATGTATTGCCTTATTTATCGATTCTTTGTCCCCAATCGACAATCGTGGTGCTCTTGACTCTATTCACATACATGCATGTTCTTTGTTCTGCCACTTGCATTCTCATCTACTCTGATGCATTGAATTTGTATTTCTGGTGTTTCAATTGTCCTTTTCATTCAGTTTTACCCCTGTAAAAGCATAAGAATCAAGATGATGCAAAATCATAGTGTTGTTTGATTATAACTTTTGAAGGTTGATTATAGTGGATAATGTACTTTACTTTTGGCTGTTCATTATATGCTGTGTTTTGGCCCTTTTTGCAGAAACCGCTCCTAAAATTTGCTTCAAATATTTTAGGTTATGATTAGGAATTTTTTCTGTGGTTGGCTGTAGGATTAATGTTTGATGTTCTGGTTGGTATCTCTGAAAACTAGTGTCAAAGTTGTCAAAAAACCATGATAGTCAATCAGCAGATGATCTGAGCTTTCTCATTTTACCCTTGTAGTGCAACTTTCACTTGGAAATGAACAAGAAACACCTACTAAATTGATACTAAGTTTTAGCTGAAAATGTAGTGTTACAGGTTGATTGTGCTTCATCACAAGAAATTTTCCTGGGAAAAAAAAATAATAAATAAAGAAAAGAAAAAACCTTCATCACTAGAAATTTTCCTGGAAAAGTTGCTCTTATAGGCTTTCAATATTAACTATGCAACAGCTCTAACCTCTTCTGTACTCTTTAAGTGCAATGTTGGTATAGTATTTTAGAGTGGTAAAATTGTGATCATTTTAATACCTTACGATTACGATTACCAATTGTTTGAAATGAGAGTTTGGGTAACACCCTCTATTTCCTAAGGGTAACATTACCACCTATCGGTTTCCCTTCCCTACCCTGTTGTAATGGTAACAAAATGTATTCTTCAATCCTCGATTTGATACGAGGGATTCCTTTCCTTTGGTAGATGAAACGACCAATAATAAAGTAACGCTTAACATACCCTTTTGCTTTCTTATTTGTTTTTAATTCTATTGTCTTCCCTAAATTTATGTCAAACATGCACTAATTTCCTGTGCTCATTAGCATAAGGGGGTATGTAGCCTCATGGGTGTGCAAGAATAGTTGTCCTACTCCCCTTGCCATAATTTCCAAGTACTTTTTTAAGCATCAATTTCCTGAATTACATCCATGTCTTTGGTATGTTTATCACCCTGAATCATTTATCATACCTAAGGTTTCTACTCCTGCCTTGGTCCAGCTAGCAAGGCGTAGTATTCGGTTATAGTTTAGGTATAAGTACGTTTTTACACCATTTTGGCCTTTTCCCTGACATGAACTAACTGGCGAAATACAAAATTAATGAATCAATCTGCATGTCTAAGGTTCATGTATGTCCAAAATCCTCATAGCTTAACTGGATTTATCAAAGTGTCAAACAAGCTCTAGGTTAGTGGTTTATCAAGCAAACTGCTGTTGGCGGCTGCATTGTTGATATTGGTTTTTGTTCTGCTGAGATGCCTGAAAAACTGCATCTTCTTATTGATTTAGAAATTTACTGTGTCCACAAGACAGTCTTTTACCACCAAATGTTTATTTACTGTGTCATTTGTGTGTAATAGGAAAGAAAGAAGCTGTTGTATTAACTTCAGATGCTGCAAAGATGGACCAAATTAACAGGGCAACAGGTCTATGTTATATCTTTATTGATGCCATTGTAATTTGTAATTTTTGCTAGTTATTGAGCTGTTAATGAACTATGTATAATCATATGTGGATATAGGTGAAGCAGAGGCCATCCGTATCGTTTCTGAAGCTCTTAAAGGAAATGGTCAAGCGGTATAGTCTTCATGTTCATTTAGCTATTGTAGCAATAAACTTATGTTGGTATTTGTTGACCATGTCAAATTTTGTAGGCTGCAAATCTCAAATTGGCCCGAGACTATGTGCAAGCTTATAACAACATGGCTAAGGAAGTAAATAACTGATCTATAACAGCTCATTTACTTAAGTGTTCTAACATGAGGTGTCATTGATTTAATTCTTGCTGTTTTTGTTGCTGTTTCAGTCTACAATTATGGTGCTTCCAGCAGCAATGAATGATGTTTCCAGCACAATGGCAATGGGTCTTTCTCTCTACCAGAAAATGTTTGCAAACAACAAAGGAGATACTTCAACTTTTTCGCCTTTCAATCCAACATCTTCAGCCACTCAAAATGAGAGTAAAGATGATAACAAAGCTACAGCAGCAGAAAACAAACCTGTTTTTTCACTTCAAAGCCCGAAGAAACCTGAGTAGGAGAATTATAGGACATACAAGGGAGATCTACTTTCAGTTTTAATTAGAGAAGAAAACTGAGGAAAATTTTGCTTGATGTAATGTTTAATTCATTTAGCCTCTAAGGTACACAAACTCATTCTGCTTAACAGATATGTCTAGTTGACCTAATTGTTTTAGCTTAATGAAGGAACCATGCCCTCATTTTTCATTCTGTTGGAATGTTCTTGGGGCTACCTTCAGGGCTTCAGGCACCAGTCTGTCAGAATAATGTTTTGAACAAAATTGTGGTTTTGTTCTTCCCTCTTTTAATGATGAAGGTATCAAACCAATTGTGGAATATTTTACTTGATTTATGATGTCTTTCCCATTTAAGTGACATAACTTCTACTCTGTATGAAAGATGACACCTGAGCTGAGGCACGTCTCGTTAATATGCTTGCAAAGGGTCATGTACCACCTTTTTGTTTAAAGAGCACAGGACATGGCTCGGCACGATGAAGTACGGCAAATTATGATGATGGCGCAATGGAAAAATAAGTTAAACTTGGCCAAGACATAGCATGGCATGGTATAGCATAGAGCCATGTAAAGCTACCTTGGACTAAGGTGTGAAGCCATACATCTTTATATCATGCTTATTGGATGAGTATTGAGAATTTTTTTTCCGAAATGCAACAATTACAAGAAATCAAACTCATAAAAGCAAATAATAAGAAATTTTCATTTATGAGTTTGTCTAATTCAAATACAAATACTTGCATAAAAGAATAATAATCACACCCCGACAATTTTTTTTTTAAAAATTTACAAATATTACAATCCTCTGAAATTAGAGCCTAAAATCAAACTCATTTTCTCAATTACATACAACAATCCCTCTACAAAGAATTAGTACAAATCTCAAAAAAAATCCTTAAAATTTTAAAGCAACCCACAAAGAACAGAAAACCCTAAAACAATCAACCAAATCAAATGAACCAACAAAAAAGCTTGACCCGACAATGGGCCCGATCCACCATTTCCCACCTGACAAAACCCACGTTTGGCGACTCGAGTACCCGCGCAATGAGCATCGACGCAACCGCACCAGTAAGTTACCCCATTTTCGCCGCAAACCGGGTCGGGTCGAAAACATTTCACCGGGCAGGATTTTCCGGATGATTCTTCCGGCGAGCATAATTCAGCATTTCCGGAGAAATCGGAAGGTAATCTAATGACGGAAGTTTGGGTGTCGGATTTTACGAATTGAGTAAAGGAAATTAAGAGGAGAGAGAAAGTTAAGAAAGAGAAATTGAAATTACGGTGAAACATTTTAATGGAGGTTAAATTATGAAAATTTAGGGTTTCAGAGGAATTGTAATTGGGGTCCTCAAACCCTGTAATTTGGGGATTTTGGGAAGAATGGAAGAGAAATTGAAATGGTACGCTAAGAATGGTATGGGTCAAATGGTGGTTGAGTTGGTTTACTGGTTATTCTTTGGCTAGCTGTTGTACGCTGTTTTCTTTACTTTTTCTCAAAAAGGAAACATGCCGTTGATATGACACAAGTCACACAACAACTATTGGAGAATGTTTTTTCTTAACAAGTCCTTGTTTGTTTTAAGTAGCAGTTTTTCTTGTAATGTAATACTACCTCCGTATCGTCTATATGCAACTTTGAAATTTTTTATATCTCACAAATAATACACTAAAGTTGCATATAATACGATCTGAAATTAGGATTATGAAATTAATTGGAGCTCTCAATTTGAAATCCCATTATACTTCCTTTATTGCATAATACGTAGTAATTGATGATTAAACTTGATATATATTACGTATGTAAACATTATTTATCGATATTACTTGAAGGTTATTTGTTCTTTCTATTATTTTACCTCACGTGTTGATCAATTAAAGTATAAGAAGTGGTGTGTCTCTAGGATTGTAGCTCACCTTAAATTTCATGGTGTTGCCTTCAATTTGAACCCTTCATGGGAGTCATGGCCATAAGGATGATTAGGAAGGAGAGTTGATATAAGAGTTATTTCTAGATTAAGCCTTAAGAGTTAAGACTTGATAAAGGAGACTGATTTCCACAAATGATTGATGATCTATTATATTCCACACTACCATACTTTATTTTATCACGAATTCAATAAAAAAAACCAGATCTAGTTTAATAAAAGTAGATTTTAATATGTATAAACACGTAGAATTAAGAAAAATTAGTTTTAGTTACTCCGTAGTAAATATTATTTTCATAGGAAAGAAATTATATTACAAATTTACATTGAATACTAGAAAAATTAGATTTTTTTTTTTTTTTTTTTTTTTTTTGTAATAATCAATTTCAGTTAGTAAAAATCAATAATTTAACTACATGTACCACTACTCCACTAGCCATTAGTCTCAGAATTTTTTTTATTTATTATTTATTATTTATTTTGGGAAAAATTACATTTTTAATGTGTGATCAAAATTATTGATGCATGCACTCACAATTAATTCAAGGACATGTTGATTTGTAATTGATCAAAAGTTGATAAAAATTACACTGTTGTAACTTTTTAGGTATTCTTGATCCCAAGTTCCCTCTAGATGCAAAAAGCATTAATCAAGTCCCCAAAAAGATTTCCCATCTTAGTTAACTTGCTAATTTCTAACCAAAAAAAATGTACTAAGTGTCTACCTTACATATGAATACCATAAATTTGTTAAACAACTTAGTCCAAATGAAATAATTAAAAATTACAAGTATTTTTTTAGTAAAATTAATCAAAGGATATGAAAGAGATAAAAATTCCTTAATTGCCGTTATTGTTATTGATAATATGTTGCAAAATTACTACTCCGTATTAATTTTATTAACGGTTTAAATTAACCAACTAAAAAATTGTGTAACAGAAAAAATGCTGTCCTTGAGAAAAAGTCATGCAAAAATGAACCACAAATTAAATGTAAGGCAAAAGCCTAAGAAAAAGGAACAGAAAGTTGCGCATTGTTTATGGAGCATTGCACATTTGCACTCCCTATGTTTAGAGCTCTCTTTCATCCTATAAGAGATGCCTCCTTCCATCATCCAAAGCAGCCTCATTTGTGGAATAATACAATAAAAACTTTCAATAACATTACATTCTTCCAAGTTTTTTCTCATCCCTCTCACCTCCTAATACTCGCCTGAATCGTCCTTGTTTATAACCCCTTTGACGATCATGGGCGGCTGTGCTAGCAGACCTAAGGACTTGGACATCAACGAGCCTGTGCCAGCTGAGGCTCCTGCCGTTGATAAGCCCGAGTCCGACCCCGTTGCACAGGTATGCAAAATAGCTAGCCTACTTTTCAATTTTTAGATAATTAATGTTATACGTTAGTTTGATTTACATTGTTAAAAAAAAAGGGTGCAAGTCACAACTACGGCCTCATGTGTGCATGACATGACATTGTCAATCATTTGAACTCTTAAATAATAAGTCACGTTTCTATTATATGTACATTTGAGCTTTTCCATATTGTCCATAATAATCAAAATTCTAATAAAATGACTATATTGATATGCCAACATTTTTTCATCTTTGAAAAAAGCAAATGCCTACATTTGTTGTTGATTTTCCTTTTGTGTGTGTGTTTGTTATGATAGGAAAATAATGGAGGTGAAGAGACAAAAACAGAAGAGCCCTTAGTAGGTCTCTCTGAAACCACAGAAGAAGCAAAAGAGTCCTCAGAATCAACACAAGCCAGGGAGCTCATCACAGAGGTAGCAGAAACCAAGGCCGAGGAGAAGATCGAGGCTGAGGAGAAGGTTGAGGCTGAGGCTGAGGCTGAGGCCAAGGAGCAGACCGAGGCTAAGGTTGAGGCTGCTCCGGCTGAAGCTGAGGCTGCCCCAACTGAAGCCGCCGAGGCTGCTCCAGCTGAGGTTGCTAACACCTCTGAGATAGAGAAGATCCCTGAGCCAGTAGAAGAAGCCAAGGTAGTTGAGGCTCAACCCTCAGAAGGAAAAAGCGATGCACCTCTCGTTACAACCGAACATTGACCATTTTATAGAACATTATACTTAAGTGCACAGATTTATGATACCTGAGTAAAAATTCTTTTTTGTAATTGGTACAGCATGTAGTGAGAGTTTGCATCTAAACCAAATAAAATGTCTTTTTTCCATTCTGTTTCTGTTATTTACAGTTATGCATATACAACTACTAACATGTATGTATGGGTGATCTGTCTCACATGATACTCCAAAAGGCAACATCCTAATAAAAAATCCTTGGCCTAAACATCCAATAGCCAATTTGTCTTGAATCATGACAGCAAGGAAGCCTAGCAGATGCTGAGTTTTACTTACCTGTGCACGCTCAATAAGATTCGTAGTTTTGTACTCAACAGCAATAAAATCCACATATCAAGCAAAATCTGCACCAGTAATTTTCATTCGATGTCACAAAGGCATATCTTGTTTCTTTATCCCCTCCAAAATCCAGGCACAGTAAGTTCTGAGCATTGATCGTGAACCTACTTATACTGCTTAGCCAAACAAAGACAATATAAGTCAAAACATTATACAGTTTATTCCTATACACTACATCGTTTATCTTCAGGGATATAGCAGGGTTTGAAAGGGAGTTCCCTGGTTAGGCAATTGGCAAATAAACAAAAAAGAACTAGGGAAACAGATGAAGCAATAATCCTGGTACACAGAATAATACCAATCTTGATCATGAATCCTGGATGATCAGAGTATGGTCATTCTGTTCAGTCAAACAATAAGTAGCAGCAAAATATATATGTTAATCATGTGTTAGGAGGATACATAAAAGCAGCCCAAAGTTTCAGAATATGACAATTGACAACAGTTGGCCTGATCAACACATCAAATGTAGTTAATGATATCTTAATCTGTTGAACAACTTTCTTTGAAAAGAACTCTTTTAGTATCTGGCATCTTGATGTTTCTAATCATCAAACTTAGATAGTAATTTTTTAAAAAAAGCCTTTTATCTTGTCTGAATCCAGTGTTGCAGGCGAAATTCAATAACAACGGATGAAGTTCAATTTTACATATGCATGGTTATAGATGCTTCACTTATTACAAAAAGGGATCTTTGCTCAACGCCGAATATGTCAAAGTTTATCAGCTCTATGCTGATATTTCAAGGTGACATCCCCCATTCACAGAGCATGACAAACCTTACACTTCTTTCTAGCTATCAGCATAAACTCTAGAATTTTCGTCTGTTGTAGTAAGCAACATCGAAGTAACAGCCTTTGTCAAGTAATAAGCACAGCTTGAATTCACATGCCGTATAACAGTATATCGTTTCCATCCACTCATACAACTAGCAGAGGGCAAGAATAAGGGGCAGCACTATACAGCAGCAGTAAATTTCCTTTGGCAGCATACATATCAGCAATAATTAATGTTGCAATTTTTCCTACTAACCAGATTTTGATAGTCATTTGTGTCCTACTGTCCTACATGCCAGCCTAATGATCTCTAAAACTGCAGAAAGGACGAGAATATTCACTCTTTTTGTATCTTTCTAACAGGTCTCCAATGGTTATTAAGTAGGCAAAATTCAAAATTACATGCCTAGCAGAGATACAGACATGTATAAAGAGGATTAACAGTGAGAAATTTTCCAATCAACAAAAATAATACTGTTTATCTTTTTATAAATTCAAAATTACATGCCTAGCAGAGATACAGACATGTATAAAGAGGATTAACAGTGAGAAATTTTCCAATCAACAAAAATAATACTGTTTATCTTTTTATAAACACATTATTTCATAAAGTTGATAACAATTTGACACTATAAGTATATAACAGATATATAAGTCAGACACGATCACACGAGTCAGCACGTCCTAGGCACACTGATTTAAGATGTGAAGCCTGCCTCCATCTAGGAGTGCTCTTACTTCCTAAACTTACATCATATCTTCACTATGACTATAACAATATAGCACGAAAAGCCGAAGGTCAAGAGGAAGCATAAGCATCAAGATAAACTGCTTAGCCTATCATTCTTATCTTCTAAGAATTGTTCTCCATTTACACTTTCATCCTTAACTCCAAACATTATTAGTAGAAGCAGGAGGGGATAACTGACTGTAGTCAATACCCAGTTCACAATCAACTGGTTAAGGTACGAGACACTGTGTACATCAATTTGCCAAGCAACTGCTGCCCCTGCACTCTGCACTCCCTTGTAGAAACCACTGTACCTGAAACATTTTACAGAAACTAATGTTTCAGTCCACATCAATCCCATCCCCCAATAGATGCACCAACAGCAATAATACAACACCGCCTATATTTATAACTCAATCTATCATTTTCACTAGTAATTCCAATTCTATAGCAGATTCATTAACTACAATAACACAAAATAACAGATGCACCAACAACAGCAATAATACAACACCGCCTATATTCATAACTCAATCTATCATTTTCACTAGTAATTCCAATTCTATAGCAGATTCATTAACTACAATAGCACTAAATAACAGACCAATTACTACTGCATAACACTAATCTAAAAGTTATGTCTTACCTGCTAAGTGTCTCTGAATCATCTGCCAGAGCACCAATAACCCAGTAAACCATGCTTTGGAACATGGCATCCAACAAGCCAAAGCTAAAATATAATAGGAATGGACCGGCATAAGCAGCACCCGAATCCTTAAAATCCAACTTCTCAGGAACATTATTCCTTGAGTACCTCAACTGATTGGCTAGACCACCTCCCCAAATCGCAGTTCCAAGCAAAGCAACAACCATAATCCCCAAATATCCCCTTTTCCTCCGACTCTGAAAGCTAAAATCCATCAAGTATCCTATCCCAATAGACCCCAACATCTGAGCCCCCCAATAAAACACATTATTAAACCCCCTAGTCCTCAAATTAAACAACTCCCCATTCACATTATTAAACTGATAAGTATAGAAAAAACTGCTCCCCCAAGCAGCTGGCACAATCAATAACATCTTCCAATTCAAGAACAACTTCAAAATCTCAGCGAGTTCAGTCGTTACATTCGAGTACTTAATATGAGCACACACACTCCCATCATTCCTAATCACTTCATTAGGTGGTAAAATACACAATGAAAGAAGTACACCAACACCCATAAAACACATAAATCCAATATAAGTCCCATCATTAACAGAACTAGCCTCAGCCCTATTATAATTCAATATAAATGGAATCAACCCACCTATAACTCCCCCCATATTAAATATACTCCAAAACATACTAATATAACTCCCTTTTCTCTTAGTTGTAGGATATGAAGTCATGATAGCTCCTTGACCAGCCCACAACAAACCAGCACCCACACCCAAAAGTGCACCAGCAGCAATCACAAAACCCTGAGAATGGTGGTGATTATAGTTCACAAACGAGCCTGCGTACAGCACATACGTCGAACACCCGGCTAGCAAGGTCAATCTAGGCCCTAATATATTGTAAATTCCACCACCCAAAATCCCAAACATTGCAAATGTAGTGTATAAAGCTGTATTAGCATTATTTGCTGCTGTATGATCAACCTGACCACCACCCCCCATACCAGATAATGCATTGAACATACCAGGGCAACAAAAACATACTAACCCTATTAATATTACTTGAATTAAAGGAGAATTATACCTTAATTTTGACATTTTTGTGGGTTCTTCTTCTTCCCTTTCCAAACCCATTATTTATATTGTATGATTTGAAATGGGGTTGATTGATATACTTGGAATATTGGATTTGATTGAAAAATGTTAATGATTTGTATTTAGAAAGGTCAAAGGAGAGAACTTTGATTGTGATTTGTAACGTAATGTAAAAAATGGAAATTAGACTGATGGATTTGTCTTGATCTGGGAATATTTATGGAAAACTACTCAATGAGTTGCCAGCTTTGTACGCTAAATAGGAAAAAATGACAGACAGTGAGCCAATCATAGGAAGAAATAGAAGATATTTGGCTTAATTAATATAGAAGGTTCACAAATCACAAGAGAAATGAATATGTTGATTTTGTAAATTCTATCCTATTTTTTTGTTTGCTTGTATTCTCGAAATGAGGTTGTATAATAATATAGAAGGTTCACAAATTAGAGAAAAGCAATAACGCACCAAAACAGAAACAATAACGCAACAGCACACAACAATGCGCACCACAACCAAAATTAATTAGGATTTGTGAGCCCTCATTTGTAGCAATTTAAACCGAATTTGCAGTAAATAATAATCTGGAATAATAAAATCAAAGCCTAAAATTCTCAAACAAACAAATAATTTGCGGAATTAAACAAGAATAAACCAAGATCGATTAAAAAACCTCTAGAAATTAAAGAGGCTTGATACCATGTTAAACTAAAGGAAATACGGGAGAAAATGGCTTAGCCTTTTGTATTGATAATTATTACATGTATATACACAATACATTAGGAAACCTAATTAGCCTAAAACTCCTAATAAGATAAACTTAACATAAATAAATACAATATTAACATAAATATAACCAAACTCTAATGTGTAGCATTGAGTTGTTTTGTTTGTTAGTTGTGATTATTGTTGAGAAGTTTAGCATCTTATTTTTAATTTTTTGTTTGGTTGAGAGAGAGTCGTATGAAGTTAATATTTTAACCAAATTTTAGAATTAGGAGAAAAAGGTAAAGATTCTCTTGTTGTTTATTATGAAGTATAGCTCATGATAATATTCATCTTGTAAAAACAAATATAAGATAAGTAACCAACTTCAAATAAGAAAAAGAATACCACTTAAAATCTTAAATAATGCATCAAACAAGGATATTCATCAGTTGATAACTTTTGTTAATGAAAAACAAATCTTGTATGTAACTGGACATTTCATTAACGAGAACATCTCATTTGATGTAAATACTCCTTCCCTCGATCTCTCACATAAGATGACTTTAGACGTGTATAATATTGATCAACATTAATGCCCTTCCTTAAATCCAAGATTGATTGTGCACTTTGGGATGTCAATTTAGATTTGAGCACTGATATAACTGATATTATAAGCGTCTTTTGTTCATTTTATTTTCACTTAATCAAACAATATACAGTTTAATCGGTTACGACTACGGTCTCAAAAAGTGGAGCCACGTAAAGTCGGAGGGAGTATTTTAATGTTATCCATTCGATCATCTTCAACTTTCTTCCATTTTTCCACGGCTATTTTCAGTTCTAAAACCCAGAAAAAATTAAAAATTATGCTCACTTCATCTGTTTTCCGCAATTCAATCACCTCAATTTCAGTATTTTCATCAACAACTACTAAACCAAAATTATCAAATTCAAACTCAATCAAAAAATTCCCTATTCAATTCAGAATTCGCGCCACTATTAAACAACAAAAACCCCTTCAATCTCAATCTCCAATTGAAGATTTTGATGAGAGAGAAAATTCTAAACCTAGGGTTTTGCTCAATAGTATTAGGGTTTTAGAGTGGGATAAGGTTTCCGACGCTGTTTCTTCCTTTGCCGGCACTTCTCTTGGTCGTGTTGCTTCAAGGGTTTGTTGAAATTTCTCCCAATTTGATTGTAATTTTGTTGAAATTGATTTTTAGGGTTTTGATTTTTTTGTTGTTGTTGTTGTAGGAACAATTGTTGTCGCTTGATCAGACGTATGAGGAGAGTTTGGAGTTGCTAAGAGAGACAAATGCAGCGGTTGAAATTCGCAAGCATAGTAATTCGTCCCTGGATTTCACTCCCATTGATGTTGTTCTGGTTTGTGCCTTCAATAAACTACGCGTAGTTACTATTTTGGGATATTCGGAAAATTTAACACTTTTGTTCTCAATTACTCTGTAGTAGTAATGGTTTATGTTTGGTCTTTTTAATATGACCCTATCTAAATTGAGGGATGGAGAAATGGTAGACATTGCCAAGCTAATATAAAGATTTTTTTTTTGCCCTTTTGTGATTTTATCAGATGCTATTTTATAAAGGGAAGGATTATGTGATTGCTATTTCTAGACTGAGTTATTACTTTTATTCTTGAAAATATGTGATGGAAATTTCCCTATTGAAATTCACTGTAAACTAATTAGGCCTGGAATGTTGATGTCTGTAACTTATAGTCGTGCTGCAAATGAGGACATGGAATTTTTAGTGTGCAAAGTTTGAAATTTGTCTTTGTACTTCATTTTGAGCTTAAGAGTATCAGTGTAAATAAGGTGACATTAAGCAAGGGAGCTACTTTACGTACACAGGACGTAGTCGTTTGTAACTAGTTTTGGTTGGTTTGTTAGCTCCCTTCAATCGAATAAATATTGGGCCTAAATAGTGGTATACCTGCAAGTGGGTGGCTAGCTAGACAAAGTAAGCTTACATGTATTATGTACTTTTGAGATAATCTTAGTGTCGAATTCATAGGTGAGATCTGCTGTAGACCATGCGCGGAGATCTTCACCAGTGGCTGGACAAGAAGCTATGGCTGTTGCAGTTCTGCTACAGATGGCAGAGGCTTTGCAGACTAACATCAAAGCAGCAATCAAAGAAAATGCCGATATGCTTGATCGTTTCATGCCCCTGGCTGATTTGGCAAGTATAAGAAGAATTGTTTTGTATAAGTTGTCTCTCAGCTATTTATTGGATGGATAATCTGTGATTTCACTCTTTATCTTTATGTTTTCCTTTATCCTTTATCAATGCAGATACTGGACTGGGTCACCAACAAATTGCTAGTCAGATCAATACTGCAAGTTATTGATGAAGATGGCTCTGTCAAAGACTCAGCAGTACGTTGCTTACCAATTTAACATCTGAAACCAGAGTATAAAGTTGTCTTGTTTCATTTTAACTTCTTATGGCATGCTTGGATTGGGGGTAATATATTAAGAGGGTAATAAAAGTCAAACTTGAAAAAACATAAGTGATTAGAAGTGCTGTTGTACAAGACAAGGTGTATACAAATAAAAAAGATAGTTGTGCCATGAGGAATAGAGAGAGATGGAGGAATTATTATCCTTATAAATTTATAATGAGGGTAATAGTTACCCACCCTCCCCTAGAGTAACTATTACCCCCAAAATGAGGGTATTAGTTCCTCTTTCTTCACCTCATACCACACCATCAAAACATAATTTTTCTTACAATCACACCATCACTATCTCCTCCTTTCCTACATTCACTTTCATTTTACTTAGTTTGGCTTTTTTTTTTACCCTAGTATTACATCTCTTCAATCCAAGCATGCCCTTAGACATAATTGTTACTGGTATTACTTAAGAAAAGTGTATTAGAAATTTTTGTTTAAGAAATAGCCTTGGATGAACAATGAAATGATATATAATGCAACCATAAGAGGGAAATAATCATATTAAGTGAAATGGCCCATGGTAGATTACAAGATCTTTAAAGTGGTAGTAAAGAGTATAAATTTAAAAAGAGCTGTTAGATGCTTTGCATATACTTTTACATTTAGGGAGTATTTTTTTCTATCTAGAGTTAGATGTTAATATGATTTTATCTGCTACCTTGAGCTTAAAGCTTGTACAGAGCATTTCATATCTAGAGTTTTATATTTATATAATCTGCTACATTGAGTTTAAAGCTTCTTTAAACAATTGTCTTGTTTATTTTTCTAATCTATTCTTGTATTAACATTCTTTACTTCAGAGTGGAAAACTCAAACAGGCACGTTGGCGAGTTTTGAACCTTGAAAACAAGGTTAGGACAACTCTTGATTGGTACTGAATCATGTTTGGATTCCTGCAAACATATAGAAGCCCATATATATTTCCAAAAGGTTACTTTGGTGGATATGTTTTCAGCTAGTAACTTTCCATGTAACTTGCACACATGTTGTCAGCAGTACTTCAATGGGCTTGAGTTCTGTATATTGGTGTTTTTTTTAAAAAAATAAAATATAAAAGTATATATTTATTTTGGGTCTCGATCATTTTTGTCTTCTTTTGCAGTTGCACCAGTTGATGAACACTCTTATTGCAAATGAAACAAATAAAACTAGTTCTTTGGTAAGCAATTCACTTCTATGCATCTGTTGCATTCTTTGTATTTTACTTCATGATATCATCTAACATGCGAGGAAATTTAGGAAGCAAGTAATGTTGATGGAAGATGGTGCATCAGATCAGGAGCACGTCAACTGACAAGTTTTAAAGGTTTATTGCTTTCAAGGTGAACTACTTATTCATGTAGCTAGGGTTACTGTTATATTATTTTGGACTCATAGCATAAAAATACTGTAATCTTGTCCCTGGTTCATGCTTTTCTTAGATTAGTATGCACATCCTCCCTTTTTTTTAGTTGTCCCTGGTTTACATGCTCTACTTTGACCATATTTTGTTATTTATGTGTAAGATAAAAGATAGCCATGTGGGATTTTGTTAGATTCATTTCTATAAGTATTTTCATAATGTTGACATAAGTGAAGGGAGTTAAGAACGATTCATGGAATTTGGGTTTATATTAGCATGTTGCTCTTGACCGAAGAGGATGGAGGGAAAGGATCTTTGTCAACATCCACCAGAGATATAATCTTGGCTCATGCAACTGACTCCATCGTATTGGGATTAAGGCTTTGGTTATTGTTGTTTAATCTACATTTTTTTTTATCATTCATCCATGACCTAGTTCCTATGGCATTATATCCAGTTTCTTTCTAATGAAGAGTGATATCTTTAGAGTTGATAAGTTTGTAATAACTAGGATATCAAGATGAAGTCAATTAATAACCGAAGTTGCTGAAAGGAATTGCATAGTCTTTATAATGGCTTGAATTCAATGAGTGGGGTGGAGTAAGTATATTATATTTGGAGACATGAACTTTGATAGGTTTAGTAGGACTTTGCTTCTTATAGTTGTTACCTATGATTATTTTTGTTGGAACATAGGATTCATATCCTTAATAATCTGTCTTCATGTGAATTGAGATCATGTTCTGACCATTTGGACACTACTTTTCTCTTGATACTTTTTTGAGGGAGACAGTAGGACTGTAGGAGTACTGATTTTGGTCCATGGTTCTTAAAAAGAAACCAAGAAGTTCTCCCAAATGTTATACGGGATTACTGATAATGGCTACAATGTAGAAGTACGCTCTACCCATTTTTGTTTTAGTCTTTGTGGCTTAAGGATGATTTCTGATTTCTCTTTGTGAAAGGAGAATTCTATGGTTTGAAGGGCTAGAAACATTGCTTTGACAATCAACATGTTCGTTATTCTTCGTCATGTGTATTTGTATTTACACAGTAGTTTGCTTACCATCTTCAAGCTTCCTTTTTTTTTTGATTAAAATTTCATTAGAGACGACAGGCGAGATGATAATGTGAACATGCCCCTTCATGTGTGACAGTTTATCTTTCGTTTGCTTAGAAATATTATCCCTTTATCTGTTATCGTTTAAGTTTTATATTGATTTCTTTTAACAGTCTTATCATTCATAACTTTAATTTTTATTTTGTGTTGTTATAGCGGAGCTGGCATGGGGAATATTATTGAGCCAGTCTCTGCTGTGCAGCTAAATGATGAATTAATGGAAGCAAAGGCATCCATTGCTGATGCAGAGGCTGAAGTTCTTTTGGATATAACAGAAAAGGTAGTATATTTCATGCTATGGATTGTCTCCTTTATTTGGTTTGACCTGGACAAGCTATTAATGACTTGTAGCTTTGCTTACTCTTGAGCAGATTAAACTGGACCTTGATAACATTGAAAAATTATTGAAGAGTGTAATTGCACTTGATGTTGTAAGTATAGCTTCTTGGTCTTTTTCCCTCTCTATATGCCTCTATTTTTTCATGGCTTGAAAGTTTTGTAGAAATTTCTTAGAGGCAAATAATGTAAATACTTTACCAAATTGGTGAAACTTGCTTACTACATTTGGTTGTGATGAAAATGTGAAGGCTAATTTTGTTAAAAAAAATCTACATGCTACAGCATGCAACAATTTCAGTATTTTTTTCTTCATGAGGAACTTCTTTCCATTTTTTTTATTCTATTCTTATTTTTTAAATATATATTTTTTCATTCTAGATGATATAATGACATAATGTACTTTGGTTAAGCAGAGAATCGTAGACTTGATCTCTAGATGCCAAAACGTGTAAACTCTAAGTTTGTTGGGCTAATTCATACTTGATGATTCAGAAGAGAGCTCTTGATTTGAATTTTTTCATAACCTTTTATGGCTTCATATAGATCCATGTGATGGTCAATTTATTGGTCTGCTGCCGAGATTAACAAATCTGTTTACTTCCGTAATTTCTCATTCCAGCATTTCGCTTAATGAAGGTAAATGCTAGAGCCAGTTTTGGCCTCTCATTAGAAGGAACCTGTCCTGAGTTACTTCTACTGGATGATAAGAATACACCATCATCTTCAGAAGGCTTTTTGCATAAAAATAACGCTATGAAGCTTGCCTACTCCACCAATAAGCAATGGAAGTTGTGTATGCCCAAAGCATATCATCCTATTTTACTTCAACGACACCGGCATGATCTACGGGAAGCCAAAAAGGATGTCGCTAATGCTATTGCTGTATGACCACTCACACTTGTTTTTCCTATTTGTTTTACTTTCATGACAAAGATATTGTTATTTGTGCTATAGCATTATTATTGGTCATCACCCTTGACCTTGTTTGGACTGAGATAGGTAAAATTATAAATATGTAATTTTTTAAATTTATGCGCTTATCTAGTTCTTCTTGGCATCGTCTTGATCAGCTGGAACTCGAACTCTAATTTCCATAGGAATTTCGGAGAAGAAAAATAAATGGGACAAATTTCGGCCAGCAAGAAGTCACACAAGAAAATATTGAAATCCTACAAGAGAAGGTAATTTTGCAGTTTGTAGAGGTCCTTGCCTTAAACTATTGCCCCAATATGTTGGTCTAATAAACTCTACACTGTAGGTTACTCAATTGGAACAAGCTCACCCAGTTCCTGCTGATATAATGATTGCTAAGAATACAAAAGTTCTTCTTATAACTGGACCTAATACAGGTGGCAAAACCATTTGCTTGAAAGCGGTTGGATTGGCTGCCATGATGGCAAAAGCAGGTGAGGTCTCTTCTCCATTTTCATTAAATTAAGCTACATCTATGTTGCACAGACCTGGATATGGATATTAGATTGGTATGGACCCAGAAAAAATGGCAAGTGTGAGAATAATTTGTTACAAAAAATGTGTATCCAAGATAAATCAGTGTCAATATTGAACATGGTACATACAGCTATAATTGCTATTGATACATGCACTTGGAGTCACCCGATGAAGAGAAGGTGGCCTTTTGGATCATTTTGTGTATGGTGAAGATGATCAGAAGCTCTAGTCATTTAGTTTATTTTATTTACTCCTGTGTTAAGTATTTGTTATAAGAATATTAAGAATGATAAAACAAACAAGATGTTAGTGGAGGCAGGAAGGGGTCTTTGTTAAACTAATTGATGTAATGAATGAACCCCCACTTCCTCCCAAGGGTAGGCAGACGAGTTGTTGAGAATATTAGTTCTTCAGTTTTCATCTGGCCTCTAGTATATTATTATGTGAGTTTTCTCTTAGTTTTTAGAACGCTAGGACATATATATCAACCGTGGTTTGAAACATGACTGGGATGGAAACCAATTTTGTGATTTACGCCACAAATTATGTCTATTATGTCACCTCACAATAATGGATTAACAACATCTTTTATTATCAGGCCTGTATGTTGTATGTGCTGAACCTGCACAGGTCCCATGGTTTGATTCTGTTTTTGCTGATATTGGTGATGAACAGTCATTGTCTCAGTCTTTATCAACTTTCTCAGGACACCTCAGGCAAATCAGTGTGAGTATTGTGCTTGAAATATGATTCAGTCTTTTGATCTTTTTATCATAATAATTAGTGCTGTGTGTGCAGCTTTTTTTTAAACTTCTTACGTTAACTTTTAGAGGCAAACGCTTATGTCTTTTAATACTTTCATGCTTACCGTAGGTACAAACACTGATACCTTTAATTATCATTAAGTAAAACTTATTAACTGATATCTTTAATTATCAACGAGTAAAAACTATTAATCAAAATTAATATTATTTGAAAATATACATTTTGACGAAACTAATAGGATCCTGCATGAATATGTTTTTCCTTATGATGAGGCATCTAAAAGATTCTTCAGTTGTTGAGTGGACAGTAGTAGAGCTCATCAGCTGAATTTGCTTAGTTTGATGACCTGGGCCTTCTCCTCCTTTCCTTATGTTATATACTAACTTCCCTTCACAGTGTCATATTTCTTTCAAACACTAATTAATATTGACCTTTGGCCCTTTGCTGTAAAATTTTAAGGAAATTAAGGATGCACAATCAAATGGTTTTGTATTCTTGTTTCCCCGCTTGAAATTTCTCAAACCCATGTTAAAGTCATCCAGTGTGAGAAAACATTCTTGTAGGAAAGAAAAGATGAAGAATAAAGTTACAACTCATTCTTTCTATTTTATTCTATACTAACTACTAAGTTTGCTTATCACAGATTTTTTTTTTTTTTTAATCCTAGTCTATTTTAGTGATATATATGTGTATGTGAACGGGGGAAAGGTGGGTATTTTATTGTGTTTGTCATTCTGGCTAGATGTTGTATCTTCAAATTGCTTGCTACATACTTGTAAGTAGTCTCAAGTGTTGATCTTCTGTATGGATCACAGGATATACAAGCTAGATCTACTAGTCAATCTCTGGTGCTTTTGGATGAGGTAAGTATACATTATCCGTTTTCATCTCTAAAACATCATTTGTAGTACGCTTCTGATGCATCTTTAATACACTAGAACATAGGAAGTGGTAGGAAAATTATGTTTTGCCCTATACGTAGGTGAAGCTAAGAATGATATTTGTTTCTTCATATATTAGTATTAGATGCAGCTCTCAAGCTATCAAGACACTCTTGGAAACTGACACTTTATTTCTTCATATATTTGTTTAATCTTTACCTATGTTTAGATTGGTGCTGGCACTAATCCTTTAGAGGGAGCAGCACTTGGTATGTCTGTTCTTGAGTCATTTGCTGAAGCTGGTGCCTTACTAACTATAGCCACAACACATCATGGTGAACTTAAAACCCTCAAGTATAGGTATGACTGAAAGAGACTATTTGTTATTTTTAAGACTTAATATTAGAGTTATTAGCCTTTTTGTCACCTGAGGTGAGCTGCAAGCCCTCAGAAGATTTAAAGTTTTTGTTTGAAAATTATCTCTTTTGCAGCAATGATGCATTTGAAAATGCATGTATGGAGTTTGATGAAGTCAACTTGAAGCCAACTTACAAAATTCTTTGGGGAGTTCCAGGTTGTTATCTCATAAAACCTAAGCAAATCCAGTTCAAAAATTCCTAATATCTGGGCTTTCTTTGTCCGTGGCAAATTATTCGATATTGTGCACCGTGGGTGAAGCCAATGAATTCCTTGCTATCAGTTCTATTTTGTTGCCTTCAGCGATTTTTATTTTACATTAGATTTTGTTGTTTAAGGTCTTGCAACCTGGCCAGTTTCATTCCATGCACCTTCCTCCTGTGCACATTATGCTTTTGTACCTAAGACTGTTATTATTGTATTGCAGGACGTTCAAATGCTATTAATATAGCTGAAAGGCTTGGGCTTCCTAAAGTAATTGTAAATAATGCTCGTGGACTATATGGAGTCGCCAGTGCAGAGATTGATGAGGTGAATACTTTTCTTCTGTTATTCTCACTCCGAATCCTCTCACAGACGGGAATTGGAGAGTATTGAATTTTATCAGGAGAAACCAAGGGAAACTTTGAGGGCCCTGTTCTTTGTCCTTCGTAGTGGAAGTTTTACTTTGTAATGTTTGATCAATTTGTGCTCATGTTTATTCGAAAAGTATTGCAATAAAGGCAGATTCTTGTTATTTTGCCAACACCAGCAATGAAAAAACAAAAAAGTACACCTAATTTATTATTTCTTGCTATTGTTTATGTGTGTCTTGGGGGGGGGGGATTGACTTTTGTGCAGTCTTGCTTTTAAGTAGTAAAAATATGATATGATGGGGAAATTGTTTCTCTGAGATTAATGTTTTGGAAAATGCAGAACATCTTGAAAGAGTGTACAGTGCTCTAACTATTGAAAGGGTGTGTTGACACTTCTTCATAGCTTCTAAACATGATGCTTTGAACATCATGAATCTTACGTCTCTTCTCTTGTTCCTCATTACTCTAGCTTGGAACTTAATATGGTCTGACAAGAAGGATTGCATGTGCAAGCCTTTACTTTTCTTGATTCTGAAAAAAAAAAAAAATGACCTTCACATAATGTTTTATTGTTTTTGCAATATTTTAGGTCATATATGATTTGGAGAAGTTCAAGCTAAATGTTGAAGAATATAAAGATGAAGCGCAACGTTACTTGAGGTTAGATCTCCCTTTTTTTTCAAGTACCGGTGATTATAAATTTGAATCCCAGTGCTGTTTAAACTTAAGGATGATTTCTTTTCCTTGTGTGTATCTGGGTTGGGGTGGGGGACTGGTGACGGTTTCATGATCAGTTTTTGTATAATTTTTCTTGAGTACTTTAGCTTGTCCATTAGCTTTACAAATATTTTAGACATGATGTCTAAAAATCTTTAAATTCTGCAATGTCATGGTCCCTAACTGAGTGACTGGAGAAGACTTCCTTGGTCATGTGTATTGTGTACTATTATCCCTTTAGTTGTTTATATGAGCTGGGTTTGATCTGCAATGCCTTCAAGATGGCTATTCTTCAGTCATAGAAGATGTTGGGGATTGGGAGAAATAACTGTTTGTTGTGGGAGAGTTGGAAAGTAATTATAAGAACTGATAAGTCTCCTTACATGTCTATTATGATAGGCTTTCCAGAGATCTTCATGAGAAAGTGCAGCATACCCAGAAGAAGCTTGATGAACATAGTTCTAATCTTAAATATAGAATGATGCAACAAATAACAGAGCTTGCATCTACAGCACGTTCAAATCTACACATGAAAATGCGTCAGTATCGTGCATCTGCACATAAGAGAAAACATCCTGCAGAAGCGAACGTGCAACCAGCTGGTACACTGATTAATAGCCAGCATTATACAGCAGGTTCCAATACTGTTGTTCCCGAAACTAGAGGTACATCTTCTGCCAAGGAGGTCAAGCCATCATCATCAGGTATAACCAATTTATATCCCCTTTAATCTTACATGTAGTCCCTTTACTTGTTAGCATGCGTAGGAGTGCCCAAGTGAATGCAATTATTCCAAACAACCATCAATCGATGGGCCTTTATTTTTTTTGATAAGAAAAGGAAATTTCTTTGGAAAATTATATAAAATGAAACGAGGAACTTTATTTTGGGACGGACTTGGGAGGGGGTAACAGCCTAACAGGGACTTCCTCTTGAATTCTGACAAACTTTCATTGAAGGTCTAGAGAAAAAAACTATAATCCCCAAGGTTGGTGAGACCGTGCAAGTTCCTTCCCTAGGGATGAAGGGAACAGTTCTTAAGGTGGAACCATCCAAAGATGAGATATTAGTACAAGCTGGTAAACTGAAGTTGAAGTTGAAAATGTCTGCAATTAAGTCCTGACTGGTAATAATGCTGTGCAGTTGTGAAGATAGATAGGTATGTCGATTCATCTATCTGTCAGCATCGTATTTGGTAATCTTTTTGACAATGTAGAAAAGAAGTAAAAACAAAAGGTTGGATTGCTGAAGCGTGGAGGATTGCTCTATTTGGAAGTATGGTGGCATTGTGCTGCACTTGAAAAGAAAGAAAACAACAGCTGTTTAGGTTAGAGCTTTCCCATGATGCGGTATTCTATTATGGATATTGTATAGCTACGTGTGTTATATTCCTGATCAAACTTGATTTTTAGATGTTGTAAGTACATAATGTAATAGCTTAAGTGCATGATTATTTTAGCCCTGTTTTTGTATACAAGTGATGACACTTTGTGTATTCATAAAATTATTATATTTAACATTTATATTTATGTCTGGAAAGTTTATGATATCAAAATTAATTGCTTTATATTATTTAACATAATGTTGGAATGCAGAAACCCCCTTCTACTAATGAAGAATTTAATGAGCCTAATTGGAGATCATGAGATGTTAATATGACATGAGCACGACCTATATTTTTTTTGGGTTTTGCTATACATAGCCCTAAGGGCTATGCATAAGAATCAACAATTTCATATCATTAATTCTATTTTTCTTGTTCCAATGGAATCTTATAGTATTATTAATCCAAAATTAATCCATCCCAAAAATGTAACTAATATTTTTCTAGTTTTCTTACCTACACAATTAAATACCATGAAAATGCTTTTTCTAAAAAAAAAAAAGTTCAATATCATCATCCTCTCTCTAGTCCAATCTATCCTAAGATGGATTCAACTAGTTGTTTGGGTGCCGAAGATATGCGAGGTCGTATGTGGCACTTCTAGTAAAATACCTTTATTTGATATGTATGAATGAAATATTTTGAACCAATGAAGATTGGCTAGGCATGGGAATAGTACTCCATAGTTTTGTTGGATGGGAGTACGTTAAAACAAATTAAAAGCTTGAAAAGGATGATAATAACTAAGTTTATCTTCTAATAAACCAAATCAGGCGTATAAACAATTTTTTTTTAAAAAAATAAATATCTTAGCAGCACACTAATATATTGCAGTATTGTCCACTTAGTATTATCTAATACGGAGTAGATGGTTTGGTTGCTATATGTTGTTTCTTGGAAGAATGTGGGTAAAAGATTAACTTGCACGGTGTTTATTTTGGATTTTAATACTACTAAAAAAATTTCTTTTTTACCGTATATATAATATAATTTTCTATTGGTATGACGTTAGATTGTTAATGCTTAACTAACTAAATAAAATACAAAAGTTTAATCCTGAAAGGAAAAAAAAAATAGCTTTAATGGGTTAATAAATGCATTTTGATAATAACTTATCCCATAAACAATATTACATTAAATTAATAATAACTTAAATTAATAATAATATAAGATTCCATTGAAACAAGAAAAATAGAGTTAATGATATGAAATTGTTGATTCTTATTAAGGGCTATGTATAGCAAAACCTATTTTGTTTTTTATATTTTTTAGTTAGGACATATCAAATTTAACCATTGATTCTCTTTTTTTTTTTTTTTTTTTTTTACACAAATTTAACCATTGATTCGGAATTGAAGACTTTGAATGAAAAATGCTGGGATGGAGAGATAAGAGAGAATAGTGTTTGGGTGCTAATGAGATGAGATAACTAGCAAGGTACTCGAGTTTAACTTAATCAACTCTACCACTAGAGTTGTCAAAAGTTGACCCGACCCGAAATACGGACTCAAACCCGATTATTACCCGACCCATCTGAACCTGAAAAAATGGTGACCCAAATCAGACCTAACCGTACCCAACCTGAAATCAACCCTAAACTCGAGTTAACCCGAGTGTGTGAGACCCGAACCCGAACATGAATTGACCTGGAGATGACCCGACCCAAATGTAACCCCTAAATTATTGACCTGAACGAACCCGACTTGAACAGAAATTGACCCAAACCAATTTTAACCTGTCAAAACCCGAATTTAACAACATGAACATTTTTGACAACATATAATGACCATTTATGGTTCCAAACGGCATTATATGACCCCGAGATGTATCCCCTAAAATCTTATTTCTTTTCAACACCGGAACCCGAAACCTTCAAAATTTCTCAAAAGGCGTGTATATCGCCTTCAATTTTGGATTTTTTTGACTTTTTTCGCCTAGAAATAAAAATTGCCGAAATTTTTACCATGGTCCATTATATCCTCCGGGAGTCCAATTGGGTGGGTGGGTGGAACCATCCAATTTGCTTTTAAACTGCCAATCTACCGGTTTACAACTTGCACCAATTTCATTAACTTAAGCCTACCACGAACATTTATGACAACATATAATGATCATTTATGGTTCCAAACGGCATTATATGAACCCAAGATGTATCCACTAAAATCCCATTTCTTTTCGACACCGGGACCCGAAACCTTCGAAATTTCTAAAAAAGCATGGATATTAATTAGCTTTCAATTTTGGAACTTTTTGACTTTTTTCGCCCGGAAAAAAAAAATTGCCGAAATGTTTACCATGCTCCCTAATACCCTCCGGGAGTCCAATTGGGTGGGTGCAACCATCAAATTTGCTTTTAAACTGCCAATTTACCGGTTTACAACTTGCACCGATTTCATTAATTCAAGCCTACCACGAACATTTATGACAACAATGATCATTTATGGTTCCAAACGGCATTATATAACCCCGAGATGTATCGCCTAAAACCTAAAGGCTTTTCGACACCAGGCCCCGAATCCTCAAAAAATTCTCAAAAAACGTGGATATTAGCCTTCAATTTTAATTTTTTTTTCACTTTTTTTCGCCCGGAAATTAAAATTGCTGAAATGTTTACCATGGTCCATAATACCCTCCGGTAATCCAATTGGGTGGGTGGAACCATCAAATTTGCCTTTAAAATGTCAATATACCGGTTTACAACTTGCACCGATTTCATTAACTCAAGCCTACCACGAACATTTATGACAACATATAATGATCATTTATGGTTCCAAACGGCATTATATGAACCCGAGATGTACCCCTAAAATCTAAAGACTTTTTAACACCAGGCCCCGAATCCTCAAAAAAATTTCAAAAATCGTGGATATTAGCCTTCAATTTCGGATTATTTTCACTTTTTTTTTGCTCGAAAATAAAAATTGCCGAAATGTTTACCATGATCCATAATACCCTCCGAGATTCCAATTGGGTGGGTGGAACCATCAAATTTTCCTTTAAACTGCCAATTTATCGGTTTACAATTTGCGCCGATTTCATTAACTTAAGTTTACCACGAACATTTACGACAACATATAATGATCATTTATGGTTCCAAACGTTATTATATGACCCTAAGATGTATCCCTTCAACCTCATTTCTTTTCGACACTGGGACCTGAAACTTTCGAAATTTCTAAAAAAGCATGGATATTAGCCTTCAATTTTGGAATTTTTTGACTTTTTTCGCTCGAGAAAAAAAATTGCCAAAATGTTTACCATGGTTCCTAATACCCTCCGAGAGTCCAATTGGGTTGGTAGAACCATCCAATTTGCTTTTAAAGTGCCAATTTACCGGTTTACAACTTGCACCGATTTCATTAACTCAAGCTTATCAAGAACATTTATGACAACATATAGTGATCATTTATGGTTCCAAACAGCATTATATGACCCCGAGATGTATCCCCTAAAATCTAAAGGATTTTCGACATCAGGTCTCGAATCCTCAAAATTTTCTCAAAAAGCCTTCAATTTTAGATTTTTTTCACCTTTTTTCGCCCGGAAATTAAAATTTCTGAAATGTTTACCATGGTCCATATAACCCTCCGAGAGTCCAATTGGGTGGGTGGAACCATCAAATTTGCCTTTAACCTGCCAATATATCGGTTTATAACTTGCACCGATTTCATTAACTCAAGCCTATCACGAACATTTATGACAACATATAATGATCATTTATGGTTCTAAACGGCATTATATGAAGCCAAGATGTATCCCCTAAAATATAAAGGCTTTTCGACACCCTGAATCCTCAAAAAAAATTCAAATAACGTGGATTTTTTGCCTGGAAATAACGGCCTTCAATTTTGGATTTTTTTCACTTTTTTTTGCCTGGAAATAAAAATTGCCGAAATATTTACCATGATCCATAATACCGTCCGATAGTCCAATTGGGTGGGTGGAACCATCCAATTTGCCTTTAAACTGCCAATTTACTGGTTTACATCTTGCACAGATTTCATTAACTCAAACCTACCACGAACATTTATGACAACATATAATGATCATTTATAGTTCCAAACGGCATTATATGACCCCGAGATGTATCCCCTAAAATCTCATTTCTTTTTGACACCGGGCCCCGAAATCTTCGAAATTTCTAAAAAAACATGGATATTAGCTTTTCAATTTTGGAACTTTTTGACTTTTTTCGCCCGAAAAAAAATTACCAAAATGTTTACCATGCTCCCTAATACCCTCTGGGAGTCCAATTGGGTGGGTGGAACTAGGGGTGTTCAAATCCGGGTACCCGAAAAAGCGCGTACCCGGATCTTCGGGTAGTTTGGAACTCGGCCCATGTCCCGACTAGAGGTGATCATTTGCGGGCTTGGACGGGTAGCGGGTCGGGCCTATGCTTTTTTTTGTCCAACGGGCTTTATGTAGCAAACCCGAACCCTTTAATGCGGGCTTGATACTTTGTCCATGCCCGCTTGTTAAACGGGTCGGGCTTGCCCGCGGGCTAACGGGCCTTTATTTTTGTTTTAATTTTTTTATAACACTAACTAATTTTTTTATTATTTACTTGTGCTAAAATTATTTTGGTATAGTTGTCTTATAATTTTTTGTTCACAAATGGTAATAGATTTTTTAAAAAAAGTTGAAATTATGACATATGTTATAAATATATGTAAGATAAAACTTATTTAAAAAGTGTTAATGATAAATTAAAAAATTAAAATGAAAAATTGTAACTAATAAAAGCTTATAGTTCAATATAGTCTCTTTGCATTTATTTTCAAAAATACACAAAGTATGTCATAACTAACTAATTAAATAAAATTATTAGAGTAATAAAGTAAGAATGTTATTATTATTATTATTATTATTATTATTGTATATTAATAAACGGGCCGGGCGGGCTAGCCCGCGATACATATTTCTTGTCCATACTCGCCCATTTATGTTAACCGGTCGGGCCTAGCCCGCCCAAATATCCAATTTTTTTAAAAAGGTTGTCCAAGCCCACCCTTTTTGCGGGCCGGGTTGGACGGGCTTAGCGGGCCGTCCCGCCCATGAACAGCTCTAGTCCCGACCCGAGAAAATCGGGTACCCGAATTTTCCGGGTCAGTTCAGAGGGTACCCGTTTTTTTTTTTTTT